CACACACACACACACACACACACACACACACACACACACACACACACACACACACACACACAGAGTGTAAAACATTGTGGTGAAGTTTCAAAAAGCCAACATAAAATGTGCATTGTTCCACCCAAAATGAATAGACCCAAACATAAGCCACCTGTGGTTTAGTGGAGTGTATTATTTGGGGCACATGGTTACTAAGATATTGTGCCATAAATTATGCAACTGTACTCTGATTTTTACAACAAAATGAAGGCCAAGTGACACATATGATCAAAATCAAGATAGTAGTTTAAGAAGAATATTAATTATTTTATTAAAAAATGTGTTTTGTTGCACAGCTCTCGCATGTTTTTTGTGCTACATTTCTGGAAACAAATCTTTTAATCAAAACAAAAAACAATAATCAAGTAGTCCTTATTAACCATAACATTGTGTATTTTTTGACTTGCGTCCAATTGTGGACTCTTATTTAAAAATACATTCATTTATTTATTTATTATCTCCCCACTTTTATTATTTTTTAGATTACATAAAATAAATTTGACCACCCAACTCATTGACAGGTCAGAACATGAGAGTGATGTACAGCAACACAGATCACCTGCAGTAAAGGACACAGCTTATAAAGACATATTTGATTTTCTTAAGTGATTAACAACATTTGATTAACAAAGGTATTAACTAAACATGATTTTTTTACTGATGGTTGTGACAGGTGATGCAAGATCAGGTGATTTTTTTTAAGCAAATTGTTCAAACTGCTGTCTACTGCAGGTAAGTTAAAGCTGACAACTCCACACAACCACCACTTCCAAAATTCCAATCTATCTCAGCTTAGTAAAGCAAAGTCAAACAGCTGATCCTACCCACATGGATAAAACACCTGCTGCCAAACGTTCTGGATGTCCCATGATAAATCAGATTCTTACCGACAATGGAATCTTTGCCTTTGTTCTCCAAGTCGCCAATAGAGACAAAGTCACACTGCACCATGGGAACGTCACAGCTGTCCTCACAGGGGATGATGGTAGACTCCCCGTTGAGTGTCATCTCATAGTCATTCTTCACTGATGTGTACTGCTTGTTGGCAATTTTCAGGGAACCTTTGGAGATGTAGTAGACCTGGTTCATACAGATGGATGAACCACATGTTAATCAGATCTGGGGAGCATTTCACCTAACTGAATCTTGCAAATAAGACAGGACTTCAGACAGCAGGGGAGGTGGGAAGGCATCAACAAAGGCTGGCAGATGATCATAAGCTTCTTATTGTATGGGTACGGTGCTGCCAGATGACTCATTCACAGTCTCTGCGGTTTTAACTCACAAAGTACTGGCAGCTGTTGATAGAACAGTGTGCCACCAAATCTGTCTTCTACCACAAAGTGAAAGGCAGTTATGGCCGATAACTTCGATACACTGAATCAATCTCACCTTTCCAACTTCAAGTAGAGAGTAGAATTTGTCCACTTCTTTGTTAAAACCAGTGACACGGATTTCTCCCTGTAAACAAATTTTTTTTACAAATAGTTTTTTTTTTAATTAACAACTCTCATGACTTATGCAGCTAAAAATTAAAAATGTGAACATTACATACACTCCCATCCACAATCTCCATGGAGAAGAGTTTGCCTTCACCCCGGGAGTTGCTCCACGAGCGAATGTTGCTCTTGTTGGTTACACGGGCACGGACTGTCCACCTGTTAGAGATTCAAGACAAACCTTGCCGTTTATGGAAGCTCTCACAGGCCAGTAATTTACAGCTCAAATATCCATAGATTTAGCCATTCGTTCACCAACTCAAGCTGTTAATCTGCCCCTAGGTGGTCTATCGGAATGTATGAAACAATCCTAAACCTGCATCATTAACTGAGCTCCACTGCATATGGCTTTAGAGAGACATTGAAACAACTAATTAGGAGTAAAAAGCAGAGTAAGAGCGCTGACTGGGTTCTGGCTGGTGTCAACATTATGTAGTCTTTAATGAGGTTATCAGAAATACCTGTGTTTGGTGAGTCATCCTTTTAGGAAAGGCCAAACAGTATAAGATAGTAACAAACCTCCCACATAAACATGCCTAATACTATTAGTGTAATTAGATACAGATTTCTTTTAACGCTGAACAGTCTGAAATATGTTGAACCAACTGTTTGTAGCATTTAACAAATATAGTCATTACAGAGTCCGACATGTGCATTATGAGAGTCAATACAGAGAAATAAATGTGAGTTTGAAGTCTTGAACAAATATGGCTCGTTTTATGTATTCGACTTTTTATTGTTTTGCCTGTAAGAGACCCCAAATGTCCACTGAACGTTATATTTGCAGACATTTTAAAAAGGCTGCATCAGTAGGAGAAATAAACTACAATATGTAGTGTGTTTATGGATACATACAATAACACATGATGGCTTTTTCTCCCTCTTGTCATCAATCATCTAAAGCACGTGTCAAACTCAAGGCCCGCAGGTGCCCCACAAATTAGTGTTTAAAAGAGGACGTGTTAAGGGATCCCCAATTAGTTGTAACATTAAACTTTATTTGATAAATTTTTAACTGTAAAATAAAGACTGTAAAAATACTGTAGGTTGTTTAGTTTTTATCATTTTTAAACTAAATGTTTAAAAATATATTACACGGACGGGGCCATTTTATTTACACACAAAGCATTCTGGGTAAATTATGACGTGGATAGGTCATCGTGCGAGGCTGCTAGCATACTATATCCACCCTGAAGGTTAATCTTGGACAATATCTGACGATTGCCTCTTTTAAATGAAACCAGAGAGCGTTGACAGAGAGGAGAAGGTAGAAATGACTCAGCCTGGAACTGAAAATATAGATGGAGGACAACAGAGCTGCTTCATTGAAGAACCCCAGCTTAGCCTGTTAGCTTTAGCATTAGCCCCGATGCTGTCACCATATATATGTATTAGCTCAGTGCTACACATTCTCCTCTCATCACTGAGGTCCTCCATCCACATGACAGAGAGGGGAACACAAAAATGACTCAGCTGCAACTGAAAATATGGATGGAGGACCTCAGTTTAGCTTGTTAGCTGCGCTAGCGCCGAGCTAATACATATAAGGCAATATAGCGTCAGTGCTAGCACAAAGGCTAAAAGACTAAGCTGAGGTTCTTCTTCCATGAAGCAGCTCTGTTGTCCTCCATCCATATTTTCAGTTACAGGCTGAGTCATTTCTACCTTCTCCTCTCTGTCAACGCTCTCTGGTTTCATTTAAAAGAGTCGATCYTCAGATATTMTCCAAGATTAACCTTRKYGGGTGGATATAGATCGCTCACACCGAGGACGTTATCCACGTCATCTTTTACCCAGAATGCTTTGCGTGGCTCCGTCCGTGTTAGAATATATTTTTTTAAAATGTACAAAACTAAACAGCCTACAGTATTTTTACAATCTTTATTTTGCTGTTAATATATACGTTTATCAAATAAAGTCTAATGTTACAACTGATCAGGGATCCCTTTAAACACTGTTGAGTCAAAGTTAAGCATGAAACGTTAAAGTTCATTATAACTGGCCCTTTGAAGGCCAACATAACGCTCATGTGGCCCTCAGTGAAAATGAGTTTGACACCCCTGATCTAAAGTACCCTCAAGTATACGCCTGCACAACTTATACCTAATGAATAAAATAAATAATAATAATTTTTGGCAGACAGAGGCTTTAAAGTTGCTATAAAAATGTATTAAAATATTGACATTATTTATCAAGTTTGCTATGAATGTGTGTTATTTTACCATTACTGTTTTAAAAACAAAAGGACTCATGCATACTCACTTGGACTGGTAAGGGTTGAGGCTGACAATAGGCACGACTTTGGAGCTCCCGCCTGGAGTATCGGGCATAGCAGGTGGAGCCTTCTTCACCAAATCTTTGTTGTAACCTCTGCTTACTGTTAAAACAGACAAAGAAAACAAATAAATAGAACACATGATCCACGAAGAGCAATGACGAAAAAGAGATACATGCATTATTCAGAGACAAATTACCAAAATCTAATTTCTTTGGATTGCAACTGCTTAATCACAGTAATTATCTCACTTCACGGGAAACATTTTATCAAAAGAAAAACATTCTGCCTTAGAATTCACCACTGCTTACTTCAGTCTTGCAAACAGGAGAAATTTAAAACGGGAGACAAAACGTTATGAATTAAGAGTTGCCGCAGATTAGCGATCCAGCATTTTTGGTGAGAAATGTGATTCACGTTTCACAGAATCAGAGCAGGGTGTGAAATGCTGTAACCAAAGCGAGCTGCTCTTCCCCCCAGAGAGCGGTGCTGCCTGACTTTGAGATTTTACGTTTGAACAAGCGCTGCACATTTGATTTGTGTGCGTCTCACGTGGAGGATTAGAGTTCAAAGTGTCCACTTAAGTCCACGCACTTTGCCAACCACTGCACTTCTGGTAATTAAGCCCCCAGATCAAGCAGCACACGTAGAGAAATGAACAATGACTATGCTGATGAGGAGGATGGTTGCCTCAACCTTAATTCCCACATGGCAGATTTAAGGGATGAAAACCTGCTATGTCACATGTAAGAAGACGGCAAAAACAATCTGACAGGTGGATTTTTACGTCTCTTCTAGTCCCAGTTCTTTTTCTGTGTGTGTGTGTGCAACACTTTTGTTTGACTGATCTAATCCACACACTCCTAGTATATTTTTGCTGCAGATGTTTTGTTATCTAAAAACCCGCACAGAGATAAACATAATGACTGTCACGCTCAGGCAGAAAGCTTTTCATCAACCCCGGTTCACAACTTTTCATGACGACAGGCACAGACAGGAGACAAAGTAGTTACAGAAGAATTTATGTCAATAACAGAGAGAGAAGCAGCAAGATTTTGTTTTTAGCTTTCAAAAGATTTTGGAAGATTTCTACACAATCAAAATTATTTGTTTTATAAACTTGAGCCATTTAAAGCAGCACATATTTGCTGCCATCTGGTGGCCATTTGGGAAAAAAATGCCCCCCCCCACCCCACCCCACTGAAAGTGAGTTTTTAACTGCAGCCATTTTAGTTCATGTTCAACTGATAAAATAAATGCCTGGACCAGGGGTCTTCAACCTGTGGCTCTGGGGCCACGTGTGGCTCTTTTGCCGCTCTGCAGTGGCTCTTTGAAAATATGACCTTACATAATAATAATTTTTGGGGGGGTTTGTGTACCCACAACAGAAAACAAGTTGTATGTAAAAACGTAATCAATACTGATGTAAAAAGTAAAATATATTAGCTCATGCTAGCCTGTTGTTTTCTTAAATAATCTAACTTCTATGATCTTTCTCTCAAATCCATCAGAATTGCCTTTAAAGAAATAGAAGACTACATAATAAGATTTAGAAAAAAAAATGCCTAAATAGTTCAGTTGTACTGGTTTTTGTGAAATTTGGTATAAACTATATACAGTATTTTTCTTATTTACACAAATCTGATCTTTTTATTTGTCCTGATGTGTATAATAATAAATAATATAATAATAATAATAATAATAATAAAATAATATTTTTTTTAGTTTTTATAATGTCACCTCCACTGACCGTAAAAGAAAGGACCTCAAAAAGGCCCATGGACCACCAGTTGATAATCACAGTCATAGCTTGTTTTGCGGCTCCGGACACATTTTATTAGTGAGACAAGCAGCACAAATGACTCTTTTGACCGTAAAGGTTGCAGACCCCTGGCCTGGACTCACCTTCATTTCTGTTTTGCTGCTGCAGAGGTGGTCTGCTTTCAGGGACGGGAGCTGGAGCTTGCTGGACGCCTTTATTCTGACCTTAATGAAAGAAAAGTGAAGTTAACGCTAACCTGCAACAATACTAGAACTCACTAAGCATTTCCTGTCAGCAAGTCTTACTGTCAATGTACGGAGTAGGTTCTCCTATTCTACCAGCAACCTCTTCAGCAGGTTTGAGGACATCGATTTCCAAAATGATTACAACTCGTCTGCAGTGAGAGAAAATGCACTTTATAATACTTATTTTTACCAAAAGTGGTTAGGGGATAAAAAGGGGGTGTAATTTCCAATAAAAATCTTCAGAGTACTAAAATTTCCAGATAAATATGCATACCGTCCATCTTTCAGTATGTTGGTCACATGTCTCTTGAGATTGCAGACAGTGTTTGGGACAAGTATGTTGTCCTCAGCCATGTAGTTCAGCTGGGTGGAAAGCATGAAAGCTGCAAATACAGAGAGTGATTAAAGACTAAATGTGTGTTTGGGTGCATTTGTTTTTCTGTACTGTTAGCTAAATACCTCATTCAATGAACAGATTTGAATGAATCTTTCACTAATAATTAAATGTACATCTATTTTGATTAACTTTAAGTGTGAACCTGATTCAAGGTGGTGGCCACAGCAAAGGCAAATACAAAAATAGCTCCAACTCAATTCCTTTACGGGTAGAGCTAAAATACGATATTGCACGTGTGTACGTTATTTTCACGGTTTGACCAAAATATTTATACCTCCAACATTTTGTACCATAAGATGTCTGGCATGAAAAGCATCAGGTGATACGCTTCCATCAAGGAATATTAGGACTTTCATTTATTATATGCCGTCATCAGTCCTACACGGACTCAGTGTGAAATAAAACCTCAAAAGCCAATAAGAATGTGCATCACCCTCACATTTCAAATGTCATTTAAATGTTAATCACACTGACCTTTAAAAAGTAAATAGACAGCATTTATATTGTGCTTTTCTAACGTTCAGCCATTCAAATTTATTTAAACTAAAGAGCCTCATTACCTCACTTACACACTGATGATGCATCAGGGTAAATTATGCCCCGGGAAACCAGGAGTCTGAGACAAAAACCTACAGAGAAACAGCTCCGTCTCCAGATAACAGTTACTCTGACCTTATAGTACAAAATAAAATGTAGAGAAATTAAGAGAATTAAATAAATTAAGATAATATTGGTTGTACTTTTAACACTTTCAAACAACTGCTAAGCACTTTACCATCTTCTCTCAAAAGATTGTGTTCTGCAGATCAAACCTTTCTGCATACCGATGAGTATCGTTTATAGATCAAATGTCAAGCTAGTAAGTAAAAAATTTTTTATTCATCCTAAAAATTTACATAAATATGGTTAGAGAACACGGAGTACCAATATAACCCATATGTAAAATATTCAGATCAATAAAATAAAGAAGCTTACAAGACAGAGTGTGACGTCCATCGCTCATCATCACGCGAAAGCGAGCTGGCCCATTTCCTCCTTCTATCTTGCGAATGTTCTAAAAGTTAATGTGTAAGAAAAAGTTATGCATACATTTTTTTAAGTTGTTTTCACAAATATAATGGTCTCATGAATGATTAGTCATTCAGTAATAGCAAATGCCTGAGTTAACCAGTATGTAAGGGATGTTGACATTTCGTCAGCAGCTGCTGCCATTTTCTTCCCAAACTGCTGTGACCAGATTTTGCGAGGCTGCTCGGTGCGTTTGCTCATAATTTCCTCCTGCTTTGTTATTTCTACGCATTTCAACAAAGTGCGCTGACGTTGGGTAGTTAGCTACAGCCTCACCTTCGACGTTTTAATTATTGTTGATGCGTTTTGAAGAGACTCTTTTTTGAAAAGCGGATCAAAGTAAATCACCCGAGTTTTTCTAGTGACCCCTTAAATAGATAAGCTGCCATGAAGAACATTATTTTATCTGCCCTTGTTCCAAATTTGATAATGATTTGAAACGTCAAAGTATGTTTTTTTTAATCCGGAATAGTGCTTGTTGCAAAGTGTGTTGACGCTCGTTTTCTTCACTTGACACCTTTAAGACGCTGTCATTGGTTGAGGAGCTTTGTTTACAAAACAGATGTCCACATGGTTTTTAAATAGATTTAATTTCCTTACTTTTTAAGTAGGGTTGGGCATAATCGTATCGTGTGCAATTAATCATCAGAAAAACGATAATCGATTATTTTTTGGCACTTGATGATTAATACGATTAATACCACCAGGCAAACTGACTGGTAATTTCCCCATTCAGTCTGGTCGGTGATCCTCTCAGCTTCAAATATGACGAACATAAAAAAAAATTCTGTAATTTATTTATCTATCAACACAATTTAAAATATGATGTATAGCCTGAAGTCTGTAATTTTGACACAATTTGGAACAGATTTTTATGAAGAGCAAATCTTTCCCACTAAATTGGTCATGTGACCAGGACATAAGGGTGTCTAGGGACTCCAGGGGATTAATAGTCAAATTAATCGTTATCGGCTAAATACCACAATTAATCATGATTAATTTTTTTGCCAATATCGCCCACCCCTATTTCTAAGACACAAAGTTGATTTGATGCTACAGTTTGCCTTGTGATATTATTTTATACCTTTTCTGCTACTTTTGAATTGGCTATTAAGTTTTATTAGGTTTTTTAGGATACAAGATGCTTCCTACAAAAACCCGAATGTTAATTTTTCCCTAAAATTTCATGGCGATATCTTGAACACTAAGGAAGTTATGAGCAAAAATAAAAAAACAGCAAGGTGAAATGGTCGCAAAGGCCCCATTGGTTCTGCTGTGAACTGCAGCAAGAAAACATGAGCTGATTTCACCTAAACAAACATCAATAACTTCCCTCATACTTCAGATAATCACGATTTTGTTGTTATTTTGTATGGTTTGAAATGTTCTTTTGGAGTCCGCTGTCAGGTTTAATATTGGAGTAGGATTAAAAATGTATCAACATCCCTACAGTATGTTCCCTTGTAGATGAACAAACTATTAAAAACTTATTGAGCCACCATGCTGAAAAGAATGTTAACTTGCAAAGAAATATCCCTCATTCTAAAATTTTATCACCTGAAATGTCTAAAATGTAAAATGTATTCACATTTTCATCCAATCAATTGTAAATCAGTTTGCCTGTTGAACGGCAAGATGGAGACAGCGAGAATGAGATAGATTAGGCTTTGTTTGTTTAGCAAAACATAACTGGGGGAAATATACAGGACAAGCTGCATTACTTGGGATTATATGATTGAAAAGTATAATTGTCAAGGTTTCTCACCACCAACTGCAGAACTGCGTCATTCCAGCCGCTGCCATTAGCCAAGGCCTGTAAAACAAACAATTTACTAACAAGAAAGATAACTTTACAAAATTGCGTTTAATTTTAAACTCATTGTTAACACAAACGGCTTGCTAGCTTGCTAACAAAGACGACACTTAAAGACTTATGAACTGTATTTTATGCAACTGCAATAAATAACGTTGATTGTTTTACTTTTAAACTTTATAAATAGTTAAATTTAAACATACCTCTATCGCGCCTTCTGAGAGGTTTGCCATGGCTCCAGAAAAAAAAAAGGTGATTTAGCGGTAAACTAGAAATTTACTTTAGAAAATGTTTGACAAGTAATCCTGTCGACTTTCGCTGACGGTAGCTTCTGAGTTGTGTCTGTGGCGCCAAAGGCTTGGATAACCCGCGCCTGAAACGAGTCGTCCGTTTCCGTTTCCGTTTCCGGTCACAGATCTGACGTCAGTTTCTAAGAAATCAAAGCAGCAAACCTCGGTGCCTCGTTCACGCCCCTAAACTGACCGGAGATCAGCGTAACGTTTCTCAGCGCCAAGCTCTTTTTTTTTTTTTTTTTTTTTTTTTTTTTTTTTTTTGTTTTTTTTTTTTTTTTTTTTTTTTTTGTGACGTTTTCTGGCGTTCTTCTTCTTCTTCTTCTTCTCCTTAGTTTGTTTTTTCGCGGTTGGTAAACAACTGTAAGGTGCATTACCGCCACCTCCTGATGTGGAGTGTGGACTGGAATAACGCTAAAAAAATTTAATAAAAAAATCACCTATATTCTTTCAAACAAACGAGTCTGCTTCAAGTACTGTAATAATTCCATAGTACTTTCAGATTTAGAAATCCTTCGTAATATTTCTATAAAATCTAACCTTATTTTCTTTTCAATAATGAATTAATTCTAATGAATTCTTTCATTTCTGTATTTTTGGCAATGTATTAGTACATGTCCTATGTTCTCATCTTCTCCACAGCACTCACATTTTCCTGTAGTATGTTTTCCACTAATAAATAATGTTTTGTTTAACCCTGCATGTTCTAATCTGAGCCTTGAAATAACTGTTTCCTCCTCTTTCTTCCAGCACTCCTCATTTCTCCTGTTTTCCATTGAATTCTATAAAACCATATCCCTCTTCTTTCTTCCTCCCATTTTTTTTTTGCCATTTCCTCTCATTTTTAGCTTTATGATACTTTTAATTTCTGTTTTACTGAATTTTATTTCTATTTCAATACATTGTTTTTGGTAGCCTGTTTTGCTTTTTTGTCTGCTTTTTCATTTCCTATTGTGCTGGTATCCATTGAAAAATCACTACTAATCCCATCATTTTAATCCTGTATAATTTTGGATTTGTCTGGCCTGCTTTCTGAACTATTTTTTTTTTAAACTGAGTAATGAAGAGCTAAAATCTGAACAAATTATTGATATGAGTGGTTTATTATCCTCAATCCATTGAACTGCAAGTAATGTTGCGATCATTTCTCCTGTGTATACTGGTCATTTATCAATTATTTTCCCTACTTTCACTCCAAATTCTGGTACAATAAATGCTGCTCTGACTCGATCTTCTGTATCCTTTGATGCATTTGTATATATTTTTACATATCCATAATAATGATTTGTATATTCTATACTTAAATTTGAGCTTAAATTATTTTTATTTCCTGCTAACTGCAGCTTCTCTAAATGCACAGCTTCACCTGGTGAGTTAAAAAAAACATTGTTCTGCATATAAAATAGTGTGCATAAATTAATTAAGGCTTTGTTTGTGAAAACTAGTAACAAATTCAGCTCTGTCAGATCCATATATCAGCTAATTATTCTCTCCATGGTGTCCAAGTGATGTTTGAAATGATCAGCTTGTTGAACAGTTTGAACAGGAATATTTTTATTAACAGTCAGATTGAATCAGCAGCTGTACAAATGTCAGACTGATGGTTCAGTTGTTCAGGTTCATTTATGGTTCTGATGTTTACTAAAATGAACACATTTGTTTTTAATAAGACATTACTGCAGCTTCTTAAGATAAAATGTGATAAAAGTTGGTCTGTGAGTGTGTTCATGTTTTACAGATTTTTATATTTCTTATGTTGAAACATAAGAAATAAATAAATAGGTTTGGGTCAATTGAAATAATTTGATCTGAAATTAGAATCCATTTAGTTTATTTTACTAAATGTTAAATAAAATAGGCTTTATATCCCTAAATAATCACTGTAGTATAGTAAATTTAAAATGAAACCTTTAGATGTGAATCAGTGCTCTACATTTGACTTTTAGGAAGGTGGAAGTTTTAGTTTTGTTSCATTTYATYATCTGTTAGTTTAAAATCTTACAGCAGCAGGTAGAACTGTGATGATACATAAATACTGTTTCAGTCACACTGTAATATTTTCAATCTCACCAGGTAAAGAAAGAGCTTCTTACTGACAGGTTAAGATAAAACTGAGTTCAGTCTCTGTTAGCATGGTGACCTTACCAAGCCCAAAGAAATCCTTCTTTGTGACTCTGAAACTTTAAGTTTAGCAGTTGTCTGATCTGTTCTCAGCTCTGTGGTGATCCACTGACTGAGCATCAGAACCTCATGAACATTAAAGTCTCTGAGTGGAAAAAGAGCTCATCAGGTTTTTAACATGAATACTCTCTTCCTTGTAGGCTGCTGTACTTTAACTTGTGAAACACAACATACAACACATCCTCTGGTATGTCGTGTCCATTTGCATATTATACAAATAATATCACAATGAAAGAACGAGGTCCTGGATACAAGCGGCCGAAATGGGTTTCCTCCGCAGGGTGTCTGGGCTCTCCCTTAGAGATAGGGTGAGAAGCTCGGTCATCCGGGAGGGACTCAGAGTAGAGCCGCTGCTCCTCCACGTCGAGAGGAGCCAGTTGAGGTGGCTCGGGCATCTGGTAAGGATGCCTCCTGGARGCCTCCCTGGTGAGGTATTCCGGGCACGTCCCACCGAGAGGAGGCCCCGAGGAAGACCCAGGACACGCTGGAGGGATTATGTCTCTCGGCTGGCTTGGGAACGCCTTGGAGTTCCCCCGGAGGAGCTGGAAGAAGTAGCTGGGGAGAGGGAGGTCTGGGCCTCCCTTCTGAAGCTGCTGCCCCGGCGACCCGACCCCGGATAGGCGGAAGAAAATGGATGGATGTTTGGATAAATAATGATGGTGGGCCGCCAGGACCAGAAAATGCCCGGGCCGTTTTTTTTTTTTTGGTCCCAGTCCAGCGGTCTCTAGTTATCCCAACCTCAAAATCTTTCGGTCAGACTTCTTTCAGCTATTCTGGAGCCAAAGCATGGAATGATCTCCCAACACATATACAGTCAATACACCGCATAGAGAATTTTAAATCAGAGGTAAAAGATCTTCTTCTCAACAACAGTCTTCATGAAGAGGAGTTGAATCCCTTCACTATGCCCTCAAACTCATAAACTCATCTTCTCATATTCTTATCTATTCTGTTGTACCTGCATACCTTTCTGACTGTCAGAAACTTGATGACCTTTTTCTCCATCACTTCTTATCATTGTGTCTTTATTCTCTCCTATAGAACTCATGTCACAATGGAAATAAGTGTATCTCACTTTCTTGTGTTATCCAAGTACTAATAATGAACGTACTAGATGTGTATGTACATGCAATATTACTGCTAAATAAAATCAATCAATCAATAATATTGGATTGTCGTGCTTTTTTCTGTCTGAAAACTGAAACATTTTTGTATCTATGTTTGTAACGGTTATTTTTTGCTGAAAATGTAATGTAAACAGAACGCATGCGCAATGCTGACAAAATAAGTGCACAATAAGATGTGTTTAATGACGTTCTCTGCTGTTGGACAAAATACTATCATACTCGATTGCCTAATTATAACCAGTACTACCATGACTAGAGGGGAAACAGGCACTTTTATATTGTATATTTAAGTCAATACAATAGATAAAAACATGTATTGCTGTAGGTTTACAGTAAACATTCATAAATGCGACTCAATTGATTATTTTTGTTCTTTCAAGTATTCCTTCAAACACAATATTAAGTCAAAACATTAACTCATAACCATGATTGGTTCCAGATCAATTCAATTTATTCACCTACATAGGAAAACAAAATAAAGAAGTTGCAGAACACACTCAATCAACAGATTTGCATTAAACGTTGACATCCAGTAATACATGTGGCAGAAAATTAAAAACATCAATTACAATGGCAGACTTTTTTCATGTATTTTATATTAATTCTTGGATTCCTGTACCACCAAATGTCAGCTAGTGAAGCAGAATTGTTTAAAATGAATATTTAAGTTTTAAAGGGAATATTAAATGATTTGTTTTTAGCTTCCATTTTAAGCTTAGATCCAGACTGAACTAGTCTGTGCAATTGTTAATGCATTAGTTTTAGCTTCCCTGGAAGAGATATTTTAGTCCCTACTTAGGGGGGCCTCCAAAAGAACCCATGTGATCCTTGTCAAACGGCATTCCCACTTTATCTTTACTTCCAAAGTATCCTCTCTGCAGAACAGGGGCCCCGGGATTAGGGTTGTTGATGACACCCATGAAGACTGGTATTTGAGTCACATCATCCATAAGCACAAAGAAGAAGGGTTGAATGAGATGGAATACTGGATTAGCCGCTCTAGAAATGACTATATTGGTGGTTGCAGCAGCTTCTGCACCATCTTCATTTATTTCCATGCTGGACTTGTGCTTCACGCTGGACACCAGCAGAGGACCATCTGATATATCAGCCAAGTTAGGATTAAGGAAAATCTCTTCAAGGCCTTGAAAAAAAGCAGCGGGTCAGTTCTTAAAGTTTACATTTTACCCATTCCAATTGTTTTTTTAATCAAAGCATACTGATTTATATCTATTTTGTAAAAAAAAACCTACAAGGACAGAAAAAGAAAAAAAATAGACTTACCTAATTTAATGAGAACACTGTCTAACTCCTGAGACTGCTCCAATTTGAATTTTGGGACTTTAACCTGAACAGCCGTCTCTTTGGGGAGGCGTTCATACAAATCTGAGATAGTCAGCTTCGCAGAGATTGAAGAAACATTCACATGTCCAGATTCAGGCATGATCACCAACAAACTCATCAGCTTTGTAAAAGGAAACCTTGCTACCTGTGCAACAGAGAAGACATGGATTTCACAGTAATACAAAAAAAAAGGTTATTTTGAAACTGTGTGCTTCATCTTTTTACATTTGCCTTGTTTCACATCAACTTCACCTTTTTAGGTCACCAACTGACATGTCATTTTTTTATTTAAGAAATCTCAACATAGTCAAATATTTTTTAAAGTTTTAGTCACAGAGGATGGTTCAGAAATATTTCTGAAGAGTATTTTTATTGCACAAATTAAGAAGCATTAAATAACTATCACATATTTGTATAAATAATTCTTTTACTATTTTATCTACAAAGTTCTAGTAAATTTGACTGAAATTATTGTCCAATCCTGACTTTATTTGGGTCAAAGCACTGTAAAAACTAACAGCCAAATAATAAACAAACAAAAAAAATTCTCTGTAAAATAAATTCTTCAAAATTATGTATAAAAGTATTTAACTTTTAAAATAATGACTTTTCTTTGTATGTTTGTTTCCAAAATATCCTGCTTACCAAAAGACATAGATTTAACAGAAAATACAACAAAATTTTATTTTTAATATGACCTACTTTGTACTTAAAATATATTTCATGAGATAATGAAACAAAAAGAGATAAAAATGAAATGGAAATTTCCTTTGACATCGAATCAAAACAGAAGTTCCTGTGCACACAAACAAATCTATTGGAGAAATTTGTTGAAATGACAAGGAGTGTTTTTTTTTTATCAAAAATATCAGTTGTATTTTACCTGAGCCTCCAGTTCATTATCAGTAAAAAAGCTCAGCTGATGTTTGGCATCTTCCATCACATCAACATCCACCATGTGCAAATCGTCAATGTAAAACACACCTCTGGAGGTAAAGTTTGGGTCAAATCGGGCTTTCCATTCTCCTGCAGGGGGCACAATGAAAAAGGGTTTCAGTTTTAGTCAACAGCACAGCTAAAATACAGTTTTAAAGATTGTGCTTTGTTTTAAGTGAAAACATTGTCTAGTTGTGTCTGTTACCTTTAAAGTGGACAGCATTGATGAGCATTAGGAGCAGATTGGGTGGTAAGGAAGACAGGAAGTCAGCCATCTTTCCGTTTGTTGCATTCTCCACCCATTCATTTATCTGCTGCAGGCTCTCCAACACCGCTGGTTCTGAGTCATAAAACTGCTGCGATTTATGTAAAAACTCTGGCTTTACTTCGGTCCCTGAAACACAGAAACCTGTTCAGCTCTGTAGGTCAACGCTATACAACAAGAGAATCTCTGAGAACAAAAGAACAACCAGGTTTTACAAATCACGCTGACAAAGGTCATGGGTTTCTAACCTTGGTGCAGAAATATGCGTGTGGCAATTTGAAGGTCTCTGTTTCTGAGCTGCACTAAAACATTACGCAGAGACTGGTGGTAACAGGGAACAGTGTTTTCATGGAGATGATGCATCAGCAGCTCTTCGGTCTCATTTTTTGCACCTTTAAAAATAAATACAAAGAGAAGCAGTGAATGAGGACAGTTGTGATCTCAGCTAAACTGGATTCATCAGAACTTGTGTACCTAAAGCCAGCTGCGATAGGGCCAGAGATATGCTTAAGGGAGATATAATGATATTTGGCTGCTCTGGCGTCGTCTCCAGGTTTTGCAACAGCTGCACACCCAGTTTTTGAATGGCAGCAGTGATGGCCTGCTGGGACTTGGGCCTCCGACTGACAGACTGACAGTCATCCGTAAATTCTTCCTCTGCTGATGCCTCGCTTGAGGTATTTGAGGTTGCAGCTGCTTCTGTGGGAGCTGCAGGTTCTAACGTCTCACTGCTTTCTTCTTTCTACAGCCAAGTTAATTAAAAAATATCTGTGATCAGAATCCAAGCACTATTTAAAAAATAAACAAATATATATAACTAACTTACTTCTATGGGTTGACTGGGAATCAAAGGAATGAGAGGGATCACAGGAGCTGACTGATCCTCTGCCACCTCTGCGTTCTGAATAATAAACAGAATAACAACCCATGACTATGAAGTACTTCCTGCAGATTCTTGTATTTTTTTTTTTTTTTACAAATTTCTAAATGTTTTAAAGGAAAATGACTGTTTTACTGTGGCTCCTTGGCAGCAGAGACAAATCAACAGGAGTGTCAGGCAGAGGTCCATGTCCTTAAAAATGTGACTAAAGAGAGAAAATTATAACTGTCAAGAGATTTGTCAAGGTCCTGTTTGTTGAGCAGAAATACATATTCACTTTAACACATAATAGTTAATTATATAATAAAAATTCAGTTATTGTTGGGGAAAAGGGAGTGAACTCACTTTATTTTAAAACAATTTCGATATCCTAAAATCTTTCTTAAACACAGGACATAAAAGTTTTTTTTTTGTTTTTTTTTAGCATTTACGGAGGATGTTGAAGCCTAGCCAATATAAGTTTTATGAAAGGTCACTTTTTGGAGCAAAACCAACTTTAGCGGAGCCTTTTTTGTTTCTTCAGCCTAATATGGCTTTTTAAAAATCAAATACATATTTACAAAATAAAAGTTTGATTTTCAGGCCACCGCTTGCTTAACAGGCCCTAAACACTACAGAAAACCTTTGAGCATTTCCTTTTTTAAAAAAAAATTAAATCAAGTAACCGATCAAACAACCTTAATAAATAAATATTAATATATGCTGACTTACCTTATTAAAAAAAAACTTGCTGCCTTGTCCAAAAAAGGAGAACCTACTGTACTGTGAGTGGCTGAATTCCTGAGTAAAATATTGGCATGTGCTCAGCAAACAGTTAAACATCAACTTTCATTGATCTGCGCCTCATTTTAAACACTATTTGTTTGTAAATGCAGCCACCGAGACTCGTGCAGGTTAGATACTGCAGCTTGACAAATGTAGCTTTTAGATGTGTGTGTCAGGAGATAAATACGACAAAACGTAATCTGTGATGAGCAAAACTTACTTTTCAAGTGATTCAAACCAACTGTAAACAAAGAAAACTTGCTTCAGACTGAGATACGAACAAGTCCCGTATTTCCCCGAAAACTGGTATTTTGACATTTTAGTTGAACAGAAAAAGTTGAAATTGATGCCACTTGTGTCCCAAAAAAAAAAAAAACCTAAATTGAAGAAGCAAGAAATGTATTTAAAAGTGTAAAAAAAAAATTAAAAATTAAAAGTAATTTGTTGTTTTTCTTTAAGTTAAAATAAAATCTGGTCCATCACATGACTGGGGTCTGCAAACACAAACGGGACTTTGTACAATATGTGCACAAATGATTCAATCAAGACTGGAAGACAAGGCTGTGAGTCAGGATGAAATCACAAAAATAAAATAAAATAAAATAAATTAAAATAAAAATCTGCAACACAGAAAAGATAGAAGCCAATTTTATTAAACAAGTTAATAAATTAATGTTTTTTTTAGACTTCACTTAAAATGTTTGACATTTTATTATTAATGTTATTTCCGCTTCAGGATTACTAATAGAAAGAAAGAGCAGCCACACTGGCATGATTTTCTTTATAAATAGCAGTTTTTACTTCGGGCAAATAATTAGAAAAGTAGATAAACTCTGTGTCACGACAGAACAGCTCTAACATCATATACAGAGAAGAGCGTCTGCTGTTTGATGCTACTAAGGTTTTAAAACTGGAATAGGTTACGGAAACAAATGCTGTTTGATTACACAAAAAGAAGTTGACAACATTTATTGATATATATTTTATATATAGGCTTTTTTTTCTTTATACTCCTAAACAGTTACATATAAAGGTTAATATACAAAATGTTTTTTCTTGGCGTTGACTGGTTGTGTATTAGTTTTGTGGATGCAGAACATGAGAGGAAATTTAAAAAAACAGCTGATGTGAAACTCAACCTTTAATGATGCTGCAGGCCTAAATCAAGAATGCATCTAAACATGATTTTTTTTTTAATCCTGAAGACATTTCAAAGTCATTGCGGAGTATTCTGGAGTATTTGCGGAATAAAAACTTTCAGTATTTAAAATCAGAGCGAGACTCTAATGTTACAACAGACCATTCTTGTGCAGTAGATTAAAGGTTGTGCATTTGTTTTTTTTGTTTGAGCAGCTGCTCTGAGTAGGTACGCCAACATTGCAAGTGTACGTTTATTTGTTCGTGACGCAAACACAAACTGCTCTGAAACAATTCGAGAAGGAGTAACAGTAACAGAAACAATTTCATCTAAAAATACTGCATAGTTTATCAGTGCAATTGGATTTACATGTAATCATTATGAAGGGAGATGGAAGGTGAGTTCAAAGTGGTTTTTTTTATTTTTTTGGTTTTATTCAGCAACTATTTGGAAAAGTGTAAACACTACATAAAACCTTCCTGAGAATGTTCTCAAATTTGTACTTTTGATCGGAATGGCTGACCTAGGCAAAACAAGGAATTATTACCCTGTCGAAATAAGAGCTTCCTATTAAATGCTTTACATCTAAGTGTGTAAGAATTTAATAACAGAGTGATAGGTGTCTACAGAGTGGGGCACATTCCCCATCCATAAAGTACAGTGCAAGCAGCCACACTGGCATGATGTTGCGGACAGAGTTTCTACAATGCTGCAACTTTGTAAAAAACAAAATAAAATAAACCAACTGACATTCTGCCCATCCAGTCCAGCTGACATCTGTGTCTTTGTGGGAAAAAAAAAACAATAAATGTCAGCAGAAAGGGGGTTAAAGAGAGTTTAGTGCGGCTAAGAGCTACCATTTTAAGCTAATAACCTGATGGCGCCATTCTCAGAGCCCAGCAGCAAGAGCCGCTTAGTGGGCAGGACTGCAAGGCTGGTCAGAGTGCCGCGGAAATTCTCCGAGCTCAGTTTTGTGCTGCTAACGGGGCTCAGGGAGATGTCGGCCATGGAATACACCCCGATCTTGTTAGCCACTGTTCCAGTGACAATCTGCGAACCGTAAAGGTCGAAGGCGTGGATGTGATCCGACTGCGACTTGTACTGGCGAAGAGGCTTGTTTTCGAGGTCCTTCCACACCGTCAGCGTGTAGTCAGTGGAGGAGCTGATCACCAGGTTTCCCTCTGCAGCCTGAAAAATCAAACAAGCAAAGCTATTGTTTCACACTAGCAAAGTACTGACCAAGTCAATGAGTAACGTTACTTCCAAGTGGTCACTGAATACAAAATATGTATAGAAATATCTAAAACAAAATGACTATTTAACCAAATTCAAGACATTAAAACATTACTTCATAAAACTAAGTGACTTATTGTGCACAGCTCATAAAATATTAGAGACAAGCATTCTCCAAGAACAAATAGATTAGATATCATCTAACAACTTGTATTAATTTTATAGTTTTTAATTGTCTTTTTTTTTAAAGGCTAATGAGTAACCTGTGTCCATATTTGCCTAAACTTGTGCCTTCAAAACTAGAGATACAATCCTTGACCTAATCTGGGGTTAAATAAAGTTTGTGTTCTGTTGACAGCAGACTCACTGGGTACAACTTTCATCACATCACACTGAGGGAAATCAAAATAATTAAAATCAAAACACATGGTATTGAATGACAAGCTGAACAATAAAACAACTGGAATCAACACTGGTGTTTTTATTTTAAAGTTTATTAAAACAACCATAACCAACAACTTCTAAAAAAAATAGTTTTGTTCTGTAAAGTATGTGTAATGTGGGTTGATCCAAGAGAAAGAGTTAATAACTCTATCTGGCTAATGAGCCAAGGATGGTCTGTAATCACCCAAAGTTTCCATTGTTTACTAAAAAGGCTGATTCTGTGTTTGTACACCGTACTTTTAGTTGGTTGTTTTTCAAGCTAACAAATTAGCAACAAACAGTAAGTGTTCTAGCACCCTTTTATTTTTCTGCTCACAAGCTTTGAACTGAACTATAACAACAAAGAAGTCAATTTTTATTGCAAAACAATTCGCTGCAAGTTTCTTGTTATTGCTGATGTAACAATTATTATGCTTCACACTGTTTAAGAAATCAGTGTAAAAAACTAGTCTTTCTATTTTCCTACAAAATGATACCAGAGTACAAATTTTGACTGTAATAAAAGCAATTTTAACAATTGTTCCACGTCTCTCCCCAGCTCGTGTCTTTGTTAGTGCGGCAGTTAAGACTCCCACGCATTTGACCCATGTTGTGAAACCCAATCTTACTAAATGTACTTGGTGTAGCAAGGGCTGAAGTTGGTGTTGGCTAACACATGATCAACAAGGCCGGATTATAATAAGGGCATTCTGGGCACTGGCCCAGGCACTTTTTCCTCAGCTTTTCTTTGTTATCTTGAGTATGACAAATGGAGGTGTAAGGATGTGAATCTGTATACCTATACACACATTTACCTTCATTTGGAGGATATCTCCCTCATGAGCTGGCCAGCCCTTAAGTACAAGTCCTGTGCGTGCGTCTAGCAGAACAATGAATCCAGATGAAAAGCCTGCAGCCACTGTGCGTCCCGAGGGACTTACTGCCAGGTAGCGGATGAGCCCGGCGCTAACGTTGTTGTACGCCAGACGAAATTCATGCTGGAGACACGGGGGAAGATTTGTCATTTTCAAGGCTGAAACGACTTATTCCTGTTGAAGTGTAAAAAGTGCTTCTCTTTCGAAGACACGGTAATGATTAATGACTGGTGGGTGTTAAATGGCTCATGTCCCGAGAGAATTAGCCTTCTAAGTGAAAACGATACCTGCAATCCAGGTTTTCGAGGATCAATGAAGCGAAGAATAGAATCTGCACTGCCAAACACAATGCTGCAGTGTGGAGCTGGCATGGTGGTGATGGCTGTAATTGGATTCTTCCCATCCACGGCTTCATGCAAGCGAATCTGTTTGCCTTGAGACAATAAAAAAAGTGTAATTATACGAGAAAACATGCAAAACTAGAAATGTGTTATAGTTAATCTGCTGCACCTGTATATTGGTCCCACACATGGACAATACCATCACAGCTAACAATTTCATGAGAGGCCTCTAGTTGTCCAACGTAGAAGACTGACTTTCGATGGTCACTATAAGTCAGCCTGGGCTCCACCTCTTTTGTCCCATCACCATGATTATAAAGAGGCCAAAGCTTCACAGTCTTGTCTTTACTCCCAGAAAGAAAGTAATCCTCTCCTGCCAGCGGTGCCAAACACTTTATAGTTCCCGAATGACCCAAAAAGCTCTGCAGTCTGATCTGGTGAAAGTGGAAATGTGAATCTTGTTGATTAAGACCGATCTCATACTGCCAGTAGGCCAACCAGTTGCCCTGCAGGGAGCGGGTGCTGCGAGGGAGCTCTTGCTTCAGGGCGCTGTCCTCTGGGGAGGGGCCTGTTATCCAGGAGGAGAAAGAAGATGCCCCTGTTGAAGAAGCAGCAAAGGTGGAGGCTGTGGTGGCGATGGGAGCTGGATGACTGGACCGTCCCCAAGAGCTGGCCAAGCCATTGCCTCCATACTCAGGGTCACGAGACACTTGGATGCGGTTTCCGACCAGGTGGCTTCCAAATGTGCCTGACTCAGGGAGGGAGTCTCCCTGCGATGTGGAGTTATTTAAAGGAGCAGGAAATGGACTACAAATCACCTTTCTGTCAAAACCAGAGGACGAAAGAGACTCCAACCTGGATGCTGAAGAACGGTTTGTCTCTATGCCCCCCTGACTCAAACTCTGATGATAGGACTGGGCCAAATGCCAGACCAGTTCATGATTTGGAACCAATTTCCGTATAGCTGTGTCACCTATAAACATCACAAAAGAACATGGATTTTTACTGGTGAGGCAAAAAAATAACATGCATATATTTCCTGACAAAACCAAGCATTGTCATTGTAATTTCAACTAAAGAACATATTTGCATGATAATCAATGTGTTACTCCTACCTATAAGGCAGTAGAATGGGATATAGGAGGCATGAGCCATCTCAGGATTAAATACTGTCTGCAACTCTTCCAAGACCCCCATCTCATATGTTACATTCAACTCTTCAGGTGTACAAACATCCACCACTGTCACTTCTCCCACAACTCTCTGGGGGGCATCATTCAGCTACAGAATGAAAAAAAAAAGTCAACATTTTTGATTTAATTCATTACTATTTTCCAGACATATGTGCAGCTGGATGGCTAAACTTTAAATTTAACTTATCCAACAAGAAAATATATGTAAAAACTTTTTTTGTGCTCCAAAAAATCTGTCACAGTTTTTAAATTGTAAGTTTCCTAATTATACATTTATATCTGTCATTTTTGTGACAGCTTTGCTTGTTGAAAGTGGTCAAGAAATACAATCAGTATGACAGCTGCTTTGTGTACGGTCTGTGCATACTATGAGAACTGAACCTTGGTGGTTAAAAACAATCATCTTGATCAAATGTAGGGATTTAGTTTAGCAGTTTTAAATAGAAGGTTTGAGCTAGAAGTCTGTGCATGTTTTCTCAAGCATCAGGATGCAAGCATACCTGAGACTGCAGAGATTGCAGCAGAGAGAAAACAGCAAAAAACCGACGCAGCGTGTCAGCCATGTGCTGCTGCACCATCTCTCGTCCGATGCGTAGACAGATGAGAGCCATTAGGCTCAATGTTTTGAGACAGATAGCTGTACGTGTTTGCACCCCACTGGGAAACCTACACAATACAACATAGAGGAAATAAATCAGAAGATCACCGACTGATCTAATGTGACACAGTTCCACTTATGTGTAGGTTTGTGTTACGTACCCCATTCGTGGGGTGGTAAGAAGATCTAAAAGTGGAAGGAGAATATCTTGATTGAGCTTCATTAGCATATCCATCAGAGTGGTATCTGAGAGAAAGACAATGATCTTCTGTGTGAGAGCAACGGCGCCAAGAAGACTTGCTTCTTTACGTGTGTTTAGACGCTGTGAAGATGGTGGCGACACCTGAATAGGACAATATTGGCAAAAAAAAAGTTATGATTAACTGTAGCATTTAGCTGATAACGATTACCATGACATTTAATATATAACTATTACACTCTCAAGTAGCCAATGTTGCAGCCTTGATCCGCATTTTCGTACTTTCTTCACACTCAGGTTTATGTTAGTTTTACAGGTGATTAAACAAGTTCATCGGGTTAGCATTAGTTGCTGTGCACTGCTTTCTGCCATTGGGCTCACATGGACACCCGACAGTGATAATATGTTGCACACAAAAGTGTGTCATCTTATGGCACAAATTGCAGTAATTGCAAAGTGGCAAAAATTAAATGTTGACAGTTTTTTCCCCAACCTTACTTAAAACATAATTTACCACATACATTTTTTAAAGCTCATTAATACAACTCTGAAAATGTAATTATCTATTTTTAGTCTTACCAAATATCCTATATAAGGCAGGTACTGGTAGGTGAGCACAGGCTCTCCATAAAGTTGAGCTATGTAGATGAGACAGTCCAAAACAGGTCCTGCTGTTTGATCACCAACCACTGGTTTCTTTTCATAGACACTGCCCATTCCCATACTCTCCAGGTGGCTCTCCTCTGTTGGACAGGCCACAAACTGGTGATTTTCAGGTCCTACAAGAAGACAATTTATAAGAAACGTGTAAAGAACAAATACCATAAAAGAGTAAATACAAAGTTAACAGAACATTTGAATTTAACACACCAATGTAACAGTTTGTGAGCAACCGCAGCAAATTTCTGGCCACATATCGAGACGTCACTGTTGGTCCAAGTTTTGCTGAGAGCCAGCGAACAGTTTTGCATACTGTATCTGTGAATGGAAAAACAATTAAAATGTTACAACCAATTAAATAAACAAATAACTCATAATAGGTTATCTAATCACCTAAAAGAATCTTTTGCTCTTTTTCCTCCGACTCCTCTGATGGATCACGACAATCCTCTTCCTCTTGTCCTTCCACAGTTCCTTTCTCAGTCTCTTCTAGCGTCAGTTCATTCAATATCTCGCCTTCTAGAGTTGCGACTGTGGCTCCCGAATCCGTGAACTCCCCATTGAGGGCGGCTGGGTGTTCTGCCCCCTCTTTACAGACATTAATTACCTCTTCTTCCTCCATGTCTCCTCCTTCCTCTCCCTCACTGGCATGCTTCAAGTCCTGACTGCTGTCAGCTGATTTCAGACTGGCTCGATCCCGCATGGAGTCGTCGCCCAGAGAGAGCTCGCTTGTGCTGCTTTTGTCGCTTAGTTTTCCCACACTAAAAGATTCATGGTCCTGATCTTTGGATGTCGAGTTCTGGCCGTGCTGCTTCCCAGAAGCCACTCCTGCTTCATTGTTCACATAGAACTCATTCTGAAAGTCCTCTGCCTCGGAAAGAAATACTTGGTCACTGAGGCTAATACCAGAGGAGTAGTCAACCATCCCGGTGTCTCCAACCAGTCCAACACCTCCGCCAACCCCACTGCTACCCCCCATGCTCCCAGCCGCAGACCCAGACGATGACTGCACCTTGCCACACTGAAAATCTTCATCCTCCTCCTCTCCAAGACTGCACATGCCGGTCCTCAGCCCTTTATAAGTTTCACCCCCAGTGCCTGAGATGCAGCTTTCAAAGCCAGCCATGACCTGCAGCACATGAGGAAGTAAGTTTGAGAGAAAGGCCTCCAGGCCAAGCCTCATTATCAGCTGAAGAATGAAACAGTCAGTGTAGAGATAGAAACGTCCTCTGAGGCAGTGAGGGTTTTCATAAACATTGATCAGGGGTTTTAGTAGGTACTTGTTTGTGTTTCTGGGACCCAGCACTCTGGAGATGGGTTCAAACAGGTACCAAGCTGCATAGACAGCCGTGGACTCCTCGAGCATGAGGGCCAGAATAAAAGGCAAGAGAATCTCAAGACCCTCTGGAGTGATTTTACTCCGCAACAGTGCTTCAAGCTGCTGCCACAGGTGAAACACAATGTCTCTTCCCTGAGGGCTACACACAGTGCCCATCTTGGAATGGTAGGAAAAGATAAAAGTATGCAGTGCAGCAAAATAAGTAGGAAAGGGGAAAGGAGTGATAATGGAGTTCAGTAACTGGTGAGGGTTTGGAGGGGGAAGACCATCGCAGATGGGGTCATATTTGAAAAGAAGTGGATCTGGGCAGTCTTGGACTTTTCTATGAGCTACACCAGAGTGCTTCTCTATTAGCAATAATGTCTGAAGAGCATGATGCAGAGACAGTGGCACGTCACGGAGGTTTGAAGAGCATAACTTCATGACGGCTTGGAAACGCTTTCTGAGGGAAGTTTCTGGTTTTAGTCCTCTCAGTTTGGCAGAATAAAATATCTCAGCGATTAGAACGCCGAGGGCTTGCATGTCTCTTTGAAAAAGATGCGTAAGAGATGGTGGAGAGTCGAATAGAGGGCCCTTTCTCGAGGAGTCGCTAGATGTTGTAGGATGCTGTACTTCAGCATGAAGACTCTTTACCAAAAAATTGTTCAGTTTCTCCAGCTCTTCTAAAGGTTGCAGTGGACTAAAACCCTCAGGAAGAATGATCTTAATTTCTTCCATATTCATGTTTGAGACATTTTCTCCTTGTTTTTTGTTCACTGGCCCGCCTCTTTGTAGCACTGCACTACGTAAACCAGGTCCTATGCCACTTGTGAAATCCCCAGGGAATGGACCTGGAGACTGAGAACCAACCAGTGGTGTGTGCTCTCCACCTATCTTTCCTCCACCTGCACTGATGGACGGCAGTGGGACAGAGCACGACACAGACGTTGATGAGCCAGAGGACGCTAATGAGTCTAGAGCCTCTGTACCTTGTTCAAGCTCTTCGTCTCTATCCACCATGGCCCAGTTGCTGGTCTCGCACCCTTTGGACTCTGGCACCATTCCATTCACAGTCTCGGCCACTGCGTTAACTGGAGGAATGTGTAGAGAAGGCACATTAAGAGTAGCAAGACCAAGAAAGGGAGGTTCTGCTGGGGCATACTGAGATGAAGATAAGCGCGGTGGGTGGGGCTGGTCGAACAACTGAACTACACCATAGGATGTCAGGTTGGTGTGATTGTCCACTAGGTGGAGGCACACATTCTTGGCCTTAATGGCCTCTTTCCCAGACAGCTTATAGCCAAATGTCAGGTCTATCCATTGATGCAAATGCTGAGACACTTCTCTGCTCTCCAGAAGGCGCCGGTGGACCTCAATGAACTCCTCACAGGACTTGCACCAAGAAGGCACGTCCAGGTCAGGCATGTCTGCATGGATTGAATGGAAAATAGAAGGATCTGTGTAGAACTCTGGAATGCACTCATCAGGAGTCCAGCTCTGCATGCGCTCCATTGTGGCTGGGTACTCATTGGGCTCCCACTGGGATCTGACATGACTGCACAACACTGATTTGGGTGTCTGTCTGGCTTTGTAGACATAATAGGTAATGTCTGACAGCACATCAGATATGTGATGGGGGACATGAAGGTGCTCAGACTGTCCAGCACCTCCAGACCCCATAACACCGAGGTCTCCACCAACGCCCAACCCATTACCTCCCGCAACTGCCAAAGCCTCTTTAGTCATCTCATATGTAAAGTCCAGCTGCTTGTCCCCCTTATTAAGCCTGAACTTTGACCTCCTGAGGTCTCTGAATTTTCCAAATGGCACAGTAAAATCCACAACCCACGGCAGGACTGGGTGATAATTAGGGTCTCCTTCTCGCCGTCCTGCTAATCTGTTCAGTTCCATCAAATAATGGAAGTTGCTGACTCGTCCATGGACCCAGTCCAGCACCAGCGTCTTTAGCTCATCAAAGCAATCTTTGCAGAGTCTATCATTCTCTTGGCTCACACATCTTATTTCTTTTGGCGGGACACTTTTTGGCTCTTGTCTAGCACAAACATCACCAACTTCCTCCTTTTCTGTGCACAGGGCCTCATAATGAGCAAGGTTGAGTTTGAGGTGGCTGCAGAGCTGCTCATCTACGGCTATATCCTGGAGAGATAGTTCTCCACAAGACAACCCTGCCGCATGACATGCCTGCAGAGCGATTAGTACCTGGTAGATGATGAACAACACTTTGGCATGGCTGTTAGCAAGCTTGGCTGGGCTGAAGGACACAATGTCATGAAGTGAATACTGAGTATAGGGTAGAATCACGTACAACATTTCTGCTGTCTCCAGCAGACATTCTGCTGGCAGGACATTAGGACAAAGAATGTCTGACTGGGATTTGGAAAAATAAGAAGAACTGGATGGCAAGAAGAGAGAAGGACCCTCTTTGTCCTTCTCTCTGGCTGGAGAGGCAGATGGTGACACTTTGTCAGGTGAGATGAAGGTTAGATTAAAAAGCTTCTCTAAGGCATGACGTACTGCATGTACAGCTGCAATATGCATCTGCTCACTGGGTCCTGTGTATGTTTGCACAAGTCTGTAATGAGCTTCCCGCCACAAATTCCTGAAAAAAAAGAAGAAAAGACAAAATCAATAACACTCTCATTTTTTTTCATTACCTCAATCAATGCTTGATTTTACTGTAATATTTTGAACTCATCATTTCCATAAAACAAAACTATTTCATTAAACAAAAAGAAGAACCTCTGAGTTAAAAACCTGTGAAAATGTGCATATGCAAAAAACACATCCCATTTTAATGAACTTTTTTAATAAATCCCACTCACTTGTTTTGAAGAAAGCTAATTTGGAGATTATTAGTTATCTTTGAAATTTAATTTAGGTGACTTATTAACAAAACACTAATGTTCTTAAGAGTTTTGAGTTATTTAGAGAATCATCTTTGAAAGAAAGCATTTTACTTTTGAACTAACACTAGTATTATTTATCAAGACAGATTCCTTACAGTTTTGTTAACTGAAGATCTTATACTTGAGGAAAAAGGGGCAGATGTAATAAGATTTTTTTCTTCTCTCTGCCACCTTTCATTTCATTTTATTTGTATTTTCTTTTTTTATTGTATATAGAATGACTTGCTTTTTTAAGAAATGAATAAAAAGTTTGAATAAGTTTTAAACTTTGCACAGTACCTGACATTATGCTGCGACACACATTGCATCGTTTTGACATATGAATCCTGCAATTGCATTTCCGTTTGGTGGTGGCACGAGTCTCTGATGAGTCTGTAACTCAACTTGCTTTTTCTCAGACCCTGAATGCAAACTCTCGTCCAGCCAGGAGGCAGCTTTGCTTGGGAAGATTGCAGGTATGTGCAAATTTCCGCTGCACTGATGCTTTCAAAGCGAGCGCAGCGTACGATCCTTTTCTCCCTGAGGCCCGTCACCCAACGCAAAGGAACGAGGGCCACAACCTCCCGAGAACGAGGCCCGGAACTTAACTGCCGTCGGTCCACTCCCAAGTCTTTCTCAATGGCTTGCATCAACCAATCCATGGTTAGTCTTTAAATGCTTGTTTGGAGTTGCACACTTCTCGGCTATGTTCACATCAATCCCACCCCAGTGGGCATAAGGTTCAAGAATCCATGAAGAGTCATCAAGAGATGAGATAATTTCCTCTTTTACTTGAGCTTCTGTAAAGATAACAAAATAAATAAATAAAAGAACACAAAATAAGCAATGACTTAAATAATATTGTTACATAAATTTGTAATGAACATCAGATTAAGTTGCTGTAATGGAGTGATGTCAGTGAAATGACATAGCTAAAACTACACGCTCCAGAAGTGTGAGCTTCTCACAAAACTGCATGGTTTATCACAATCAACACATTTATTCATCACCATAAAACTCTACAGATTAATTTCTAAGTTTCTCTGGTAAAATGTGCTTTTGCACAATCAAACCACCACTGTTTGTATCTGATCCACTTAATGTTCAGTTAATTTAGCTTTATGGCTGGTTTAAGTCTAAATGAAAATGCTGCAAACTTCAGACAGATTTGCTATATGTTTAGAAAAGGTGTGAAAGTCTTATATCTTCAAACAGAGCGACAAAAGCAAATGTTTCAGTTTGAAGGCGACCTTTAGGGAAGTGATGCTACTAGCCGACATTTAGCTTAACGAAGCTGCTAACGCTGCAAATACTAAAGTAGATTTTTTTAAAGCACTGTTGGGTTAGTTAGACACCTTATAGACGCAGTTGGTTAAGCGTAACCACTCTGTAATAACAAAACAACAAACTCGCTGTTTTTGAAGCAGAGCTCACCTCTCACCACTTGTAGCAGCTAGTTAGCATGAAGCTAACGGCGAGCCCCGCGTTTCATGCATGATCACCTTGCATCACTTCATGAAACTGAGACGGGCTGCGGACTTAGCTCCATTTTCTGGTGTCTACAGATGCCCTTCAGCAGGCAGACGACAGTCAGTCAGTCAGTCAGTGGATTGTGTGTTGTTCTGAACTACTTCTTGGAGCCATGTTTAACAGGGTACGCCTCACGTGACACTACAGCGCCACCAGCTCAGCTCATGTGATCATGTGATCCCAGCTGTTTGCCCTGCCAGACCGAGAAGGGATCACTTCCTCAATGTCATTCACAAAAAACGGCAGGGAAAATGTTCGGGATTGCTTCATAAAGACGAAATATACTACTGTAATACTCACAGAATAGACAGAATAAAATCTGAAGGCAAATTATTAAGTAAATAGTGAGATAACACCATCTTAGTGCAGTACCATCTCTTGTTTTTGTAAACTATCTGTTGTCTCTTAATAAAGTTATTCACAATAAACTGTTTTGTCTTTCCATATTTTATATCATTCCCCTGTTTGGCTAAACTGTAAAGCACTTCCATTGGCTCTATGTGGCACTGATGAAAGCATAAAGAGTATTCGTAGTTTTTACCGGTTTTGCATTGATGTTGCATTTGAAATAGTAAGATTGTGTCTGCAGTAAAGACATTTGCATGATGATTACATTTTTTAAGAAAATATAAATTTTTGGAGGTGCCACTACCCCAAACAAACTTTTTGACATTTAAATTGGTTGCTGTACAAATTATGTCCACAAGATGGCAGCATTTTCATAAATTCACAGAGACTTAGAACCTCCTTGTAAATTCATATACGTAGACTTCAATAATAAATATATACCTCCATGTAAATTCACAAGGAGGTTACATAGAACTATGGGCTCAAGTGAGTTATTCAAGTCTATGTAAATTCACAAGCAAGCCTATTTTGACCATGCTCACTACAAATCTTGCAGTGTTTTTACTGGTTCCCTTTGTGATTTCGTGTTATTTAAATAGTTTCCATAAATTCAAAACCTCCCAATTGTTTACTAATAACTATAAGTTCCAAAAAAATGTGTCACGCATTTATATTCTACATGTGAAGATAATCTTCCAAGGGATTTTTTGATGGAAGTCTACATAGCTGCCAAGTTCACACTGTGATAGGTTTTTAATGAAAATGTGCAAAATCTAAATGAAGAATGTGGTGAACTCTTATCGTAGTTAAAACTGTAAAAAGTGCATAAATAAATAAAATATATTGAACACATTGAAATTAGGAGGTTAATTAAAAAAAGTAATAATAAACTGTAGTGATCAATATAACAGCAAAATTACATCTTATTTTAAATAACACTTTAGGTAGTGAGACTTTCCACATGATTACATGTGGCTCCTTTATCTTTGAAAGTGGTCAGAATTATTCTGTATATGCATGACCACATTGGGTTGGAAACCTGTGTTTACAGAAACACAAATGAAAAGCTTCTCTCGTCCAAATGTAACCACCAATTCAGAGCTACAGTCAACATTTTTCACAGAAAAGATTTGGTCGAAGAACATTACATTCTTTGGTTTAGTAGATCTTGTTCCTTCTCATTTCAGCACTTTGAAGATTACAAAAATGCCCAGTCAATCTGGAAACCAAAAGGACAACCACACTTTTCCTCAAAACCAACTACATCTGGCTACTAGTGCAACAAAATAATTTCTGTCAATTGCATTTGTATTTGGGCATTAGAAATAAAAAAAATCCTTAAATTATGAGATGGGATCAAAATAATTTTTAATAAAATTTGTTAAATGTACAGGACCGTTTGAACAATAACGTTTCCAGGTAAAACCACTATTTATAAATTAAATATAAACATTAACATTTCAATTAAAATGTAAGCGTCAGCTTTTAACTAGAATGCAATATTGCGTTAACTGAAATCTATAGAAGATATTTTGCTAACCTTTGGATCAACATATCTTTTTTGATCCAAGTGTTACTCAGTTGCTACAAACACATTTTAGTTTGTTATTATGGTCAAACTAAGTGCTAAATGCTCGATACACTCCCTGCTGATTTGTGAGTAAAGTGCTTAGATCCAGATCAAAAATCAAAATGTTCATAAATAAACTTAAATTATAAATGCAAAACTCTGAGTGCTGCAGCAAGTAAAAATATAGCTAAAGAGAATTAGCATTACTACAATGTTGAAATTTTATAAAGTACTGGCACAAAAAGACGTGACCAAAATTTACTGGATTTCATCTGAGGAAGCCATTTTTAAATAAGTAGCTATGAGAAAGCAGATGGTTGAGGATTGTGTTAGTCTTGTTTTGGCAGCACAATATTTGCTGTCATACTTTTTGCTTTAGCAGCACTAAAACCCAGTTTTACTGCAGTTTGATGATGATATGATATGATATGATATGATATGATATGATATGATATGATATGATATGATATGATATGATATGATATGATATCAACATGGTGTCTTTTGATGCATGCTTTATTGCACAACATACAAATAACTCCATTTGTGAATATGTTCTTTCAATTTTTGTTTTAGTGCAAAAATGTATAAAGTTGCCTTTAATGATCAAAACCTTACTGTTTCAGAGATTATTCACACGTGGCAAAATGTGATTAAAACTTAAGTAAAATGTCTTTTTTAACATCAGAAATGACAAAAAAATAAAGGACAAGTCACAATAAATCAGAATCAAAACTACAACAGACTTCAAATGATAACTGTCAGTTTGTTAAATGATGTATCTACACTGTAAAAAATGAAATGTTGGATTTACTTAACCATGTTATGTTACCTGGTTCCACTTAACTGAGTTGAGTAAATTCAAAGCAATATACCAGTTTTTTAGCCAAAGAACATGAGTATGTTGCTTTGAATTTACTCAACTCAGTTAAGTGGAACCAGGTAACATAACATGGTTAAGTAAATCCAACATTTCATTTTTAGAGTGTACTGAACATGCTTATGAAAGAGCTGTCTTATCACCCTGAGTAAACTGATAAAAAGATATTAGAGCACCTGCGGTCGAATCAGCAGTTTGATCAGATTTACTGAATGGGAGCAAGAAATTCGATTTTTGTGCCAAGAAAATAAAAAAAATGTATTAAGAAAATGTGCTGAATAAGCATAAAAAGGGGGCCAACTTTTTTTTCCTGCATCAGTAAGTTTTTTTTTTTTTTTTTTTTTGAGTCTGCACCCATCCCATTTTCTCCCTCCTCATTGTGATTCGACTGCCTCTTTCTCTCCTTTATATGCTGTGGGACTCCCCCCACCTCCCCTCCTCCTCTTCTCCTTTGAGCCTCAAAAGGGCGACCCACTGTTGCTGAGCCGTATTTTCCCTTCAGGATGGGATTCCTCAGACATCTGCGCTCCATAAAGAATGAGCTCATCCTCTTCTCGACTCCGTGCATCCTTCTCCCTCTGCCTTTAGTGATCGGGACGCCGGTATGTACACTGATCTTAACAGAAAGATAGAAAAAAAAAACAGAAAGGATTTTGAAGTTGAAGAAAGAATATTGATGACATATTCTTAAATTGAACATAAACTAAATCATTTTCATGTCTGTGCTTGCAGTTTTACATTTAATGGACTTATTTCTGCCCAATATTAACAAGCCATATGTTTAAAAACTGCACCCTGGGCTGACTTGTTCTTTGCACCTGTTGGCACCAGGTCCAGCAGGCGCAGAGCAACTCAGAGCACAACGCATGAGAGAACTGTCCATGTTGTCCAGTCCTGTTAGTTTAACTCCTTTTTGTTAACATAAAGTATAAGTCCAGCGTGGGAACAGTATGTTCAGAGGGTTCTGTCCACATTGTTACCTCTACATGTAAATGACAGAGACATGCAGGCTGCAGGCATGTTGTGATAGGAGACAAAACCACAGATTAGAGCAGTGTTTCCCAAAGTTGGGCTTGGGACCCAATTATGGGTCATGAAGCACCTTGGATAATCTCCAGAAATCAATTTAAAGGGTAATAAAATAATTGCTGATGTAATATTTTCCTTATAATTATTACAAAAACACAAACTAAGTGAAGATAAGTATTTTTATTTGTGTACAAGCTGTTTATATTATCAAAAAAACTGTGTTTTTAGGGTTAGTAACGAAGCTTGTGTACTCAGACCAGTAATATTTGGGGTCACAAGTTTTTGCCATGGATATTTTGTGGGTCAGAAGATAAAAGGTTTGGGAACCACTGGATTAGAGGGATGCCTGTTCAACATGAGGACAATATCAGTTTACAAGCAGTGGAGAAAATCTCCTATCTATTACAAAGGTTTTGTAAAGTAACTAAGTACAAATACTTCTTTACTGTATTTAAGTGGAATTTTTGGGTATCTGTACTTTACTTGAGTAATTATTTTTCAGCCTACTTTTTACTTCTACTTCTTACATTTTTACACAGTTATCTGTACTTTCTACTTATTACATTTTTTAAAAAGATAAGAAGTAGAAAGTCATTACTCCTATTTTATTACAGCTTGTTGTTAAAAAAAATATTATCCTCCTGGATAGAGCGAATTTAAATGTGGTTGGATGAGAAGTATATTATGCTGATCCTGTAGTAGTTTGAACACAATCCATCACAGATGATCACAAATTATGTCACACTCCAGCAGAGCACAGCAGGTATACTGTATGTATCCTGGTACAAAAATGTCTGTGGCATTTATATATATATATAAGCTGAAACGGGTGTAGTGCATCCTAATTTTTTATAACATTAACATTTTTATATGACAATATAGCCATTTTGACCTTTAGAAAAGCGTTTTTGAGGGTATCAGCTCCCAATAAATGTCATTTTGGGATGTCTAGCCACTCATTTTTACTCAATACTTTTACTTTTTATACTTAAGTACATTTTATGTCAGAAATTTACTTTTGATACTTAAGTACAAAATATATTAGATACTTTAAGACTTTTACTCAAGTAATATTCTTAGAGGAGACTTGAACTTTTACCAAATTAAATTTTTGGTATACTTTTACTCAAGTATCACTTTGTGGTACTTAATACAACACTTGGTTTTAAAATGTCAAAAAAAAAAAAAAAAAAAACAAATCAACATGTTTTATAGCATTTACCTGCCACCTTTTATTGCTGAGTTAAAAACTATTTTTGTCTTGTGCTGAGAAAGAAAGGAGTTAAAATAGTTTTGGGTCCAACCTTGCAATTAAATGACTTTTTGTGCAATCTCACGAGATCTGCTGAAGATGACGTTCAGCTACACTAAATTTAACTCATCTGTACATTTGATATTTTTTGTCTCAAAAGACACGTTATTGCTGCTTCGCCATCATCACCAGAAGAAGTTTAGAGGATGTTTCTGCTCAGATATGAGCTGCAGACAATGAGTGTGATTAAGAAAAAAACAATACTTACCTTTACTCTTTGAACCTTTATATAATACATAATATAATGAGATGATAAAGATCTAAACTCTTTACCAGAACTTTTATTGGAGGACATTTGTATTGTACATGTGTGCTTTCTTTCTGAACAGGAAGCGGAATGTGCCTATGTGATTATCCTGATGGCGCTGTACTGGTGCACAGAGGTCCTGCCGCTGGGTGTGACAGCTCTGCTCCCAGCTGTCCTTTTCCCACTTTTTGGCATAATGCCATCCAAAGACGTAAGTGAAACCAACACTGGAGTACGACTTTTATTTAAGTTTCCACTGCAGTGAGAAATAATCCCTGTGATTTTGCTGTTTCAGGTGGGTATGCAGTATTTAAAGGACACAAATTTGTTATTTTTGGGAGGACTGATGGTCGCTGTGGCTGTGGAGCACTGGAATCTACACAAGCGTATAGCTTTAAGGGTGCTGCTGTTTGTTGGTGTTCGTCCAGCACTGTGAGTAGTTTGAGTATACTCCAGCATGTAGCTATCTACAGACCCAACACGCTGAAGATAAGCACGGCGGGTTCAAGGTTTTCATAAGATCATAAATGCTTGTCTCCTTTTGTTGCTCACTGATAAAACAGTCTGATCTTGAGGCCACTTTCCTTCATCTTTTGTTTTCTTTTTTTTCATGGTTGCTGACAGCTTGATGCTGGGTTTCATGGGTGTCACTGCATTCCTGTCCATGTGGATCAGTAACACAGCTACAACAGCCATGATGGTGCCCATTGTCCAAGCCGTGATGGATCAGCTCAACACCAGTGAAAAAGAAGTACCTCAGATCCTCAGCTCGGACGAACACGTCCAAACATCAGATGCTGACAGCAAGCACACACAGACAGAAAAAGACAATGAAGGGCACGGTGAGCCCTTTACACTCTCTGAAGCCCCAGTCACACAAAAAAAAAAAAATCTGTCGCAGAAAATGTGTAGCACCGGACCTTTTCTAATAGCACTGCTTTTCATTCCTTGCTCCTTGTTTACAGGCCCGGTGGTGGTGACCTTTTTAGATGCGTCCGTAGAAATCGCCAGACATAAAGAGGCAGCAGAAAGACGCAAAATGTGTAAAGGGATGACCTTGTGTGTTTGTTATGCTGCCAGCATCGGAGGCACTGCCACGCTCACAGGAACCGGTCCCAATTTGGTGCTCCAGGGTGGGATGAATCAGTAAGCGTGTCCTTCTCAATCTGGAGTAGTGCTCCAATATTTGGTATTGTGTTTAAGTTGTTCTTGTTGTTGTTTTGTCCTTTTTGTTAGACTGTTTCCTGAAAATGGGGATGTGATTAACTTTGCCTCCTGGTTTGGCTTTGCCTTCCCAAACATGATCCTTATGCTCACAGTGGCCTGGCTTTGGCTGCAGTTTGTCTTCATGGGATTCAAGTGAGTTTATTTATGGCTAAAAACCTATTGTAGTTTTAAAAACCTTCAACATATTTTATTGTGTCAATGTTACAATTTGATGTGGAGGTGAAATAGATCATTCTTAATTCATTGTTATTCCTTCAGCTTTAGGAAGACATGGGGTTGTGGGACTGTAAAGACAGAAAAAGAGATTGCTGCCTACAATGTGATCCGGGAGCAACATCGACTGCTCGGGTCCATGTCTTTTGGAGAAATAAGTGTCCTGGGTCTCTTCATTTTGCTGGTTCTTTTGTGGTTCACAAGAGATCCAGGTTTTGCCAGTGGCTGGGCCACAAATATCTTTAACTCCGAAGCAGAGTTTGTACACATTCCTTTCTTTTCTAAAAACTAGTTTATACAATAAAACATAATAGACTTGTGATGGACTTTGTACTCTTATCTCTGAAAGGTATGTGACAGATGCTACTGTAGCGATCTTTGTGGCCATTCTTCTCTTTGTTCTGCCCTCTGAACCGCCGCGTTTCTGTTCATGGAGGTCTCAGAGTTTTGACACAGGTAAGCCATCAATTAAAGAAGAACACACGCTGTTTAATGTTCTGCAAGTATTTAATTTATTAAATCTGCAGTTCTGCATCAGTCTTCTGGCTCAACACCACGTCTCCTAACCTGGAAAGCAGCCCATAAGAAGGTACCATGGGGGATTCTGCTACTTCTTGGAGGAGGTTTTGCTCTTGCTAAGGGAAGTGAAGTAAGTGGCAAGAACAAGTTATACAATATGTCATTTAACACATTATGATGCATAATGGTATGTCTGTAATGTTCCAATATGTTGTTGCTCCTTTATGTTATGTTACATCACCTAACACCACATTACAATACATCACATTACATTTTTACAGTCTGTTAAGTTACACATTAAAATATGTTACAATACAGCTTATAACATAGCTGTACGTTAACAATGCATTGCGTTATGTTGCATTGTGTTATGTTGCGTTATGTTGCTTTGCATTGTGCTACGTTGCGTTACATTGTGTTCCATTGCATTGCATTGTGTTACATTGCGTTACGTTGCGTTACATTGTTATGTTGTATTGCGTTACTTTGCATTGTGTTACATTGCATTACGTTGCGTTATGTTGCGCTATGTTGCGTATTGCTTTGCATTGTGTTATTTTGCGTTACGTTGTGTTACATTGCATTACTTTGTATTGGGTTACTTTGTTATATTATGTTATGTTACAATGCGTTGCATAATATTGTATTGTGTTACGTTGCATTGCGTTACATTGCTTAATTTTATATTAAGTTGCGTTGTGTTATGACGTGTTCTATTACATCAGTTGATGTTCCACTGCATTATGTTGCTTTAAATTATATTGTGCTCTGTTATATTGGGCTGGATTACGTTTTGTTACCTTGTGTTACATTACGTTGCGTTACATTATGTAGCATTACTTTAAACTGCGTTAAGTCAAGTTGCATTACGTTAAGTTGAATTGTGTTACAATGGGTTATGTTCAATTTTATTGCATTACATTGCATTAAACTGTGCTGCATCACGTTATGTTGTGTTACGATATGTTGTGTTATGATATGTTACCTTGTGTTACGTTATGTTGCGTTACGTTTTATTGCGTTACATTTTGTCACGTTAACTCATAGTACATGCTTTTTTGTTTTTAGGTATCGGGACTCTCAAAGTGGATGGGGGATCAGATGACTCCTTTGCAGAACATTCCTCCCTGGGCGATTGCTATCATTTTGTGTCTACTAATTGCCACCTTCACTGAGTGCACCAGTAACGTGGCCACTGCAACTCTCTTCTTACCTGTCTTAGCCTCAATGGTAAGATCTCTCTCATAGAATATATGTTGGCCATGAATAAAATTAAAAATAAAAGCAAAATCCCTAAAATATAGGTGACATGAAGCCTGATAGTTTGGCTTCCATTAGGTAAGGTTCTTCAGTAATGTCAAGCTGACTGATTTCCTCAGTTAAAGTCTAACACTGACACTGTTCCCTATGAGAGCTGGCCTATTTTCCCATGTTTGGCAAGTCCTCTAGTTGGTCATTCAGGCTGAATTTATTTGGTTCTCTGCTGTGGGCCCCTCCTTCCATTAATAACCTGCCAAATACACCAATTCAGCCTGATGCCTTGTCCCATTGCCTGTCTCTTCGCTGTTAAGGAATGCCAATACTGTTCCTACTTGTTGAGCACTACACAGAATGTCAAATATGGTTTGTCGTGTAGAGATATTCAGACTGATATTTTGCACAAATCTGATCTAGTATGCATGAAAACAAAGAAAGGGACATAAAAGAACAAGAATTAATTATTTGATCATTGACATTAAATAAAGTGAAAGTGGAGATGACACTTTGGGGTATTAATGTCTTGCGGCTTGTGTCTTTGTGTCATCGTGTCAGTAAATCTTTCATTTAAACAAAAACTATCTGACAAGACAAAGCATTGTCATTGTGGTGACCAAATATGGAGCTTACAGTTTCAAATGCACTAAATATAAAGCTTACTTTTGTCCACTCTTTGTTTATTTTAGGACTCAAAAATTACTGTGCACTTGTTTAAGTTGGTGTGCCACAGGATATGTAATTCAGAAGCAAATTCTACACAGTAATGTTCCCTGACCCACTGTAGTCTACCATTATCGCTACAGATGCAGTGCTTTTCTATTTTAGATGTCATGACTCAGCTGCAAGCCAGCAGGAATTACGTCTTAATTACACCCACTTAATGAGAGTTTTCACTTCGCACAGAATTGCACACATTTCATAGAGTTACGAGTCAGTGATTACGGTCACAGAAATATAGCCAGATGAGGGAGTGGAGGATTTTGTGATCAAAACTGTGTTCATTGACCGTTTAAAACCTCCTGTGTCATTTTTGCAGTCTCAGTCTATTGGAGTCAATCCTCTCTACGTCATGGTGCCTTGCACTCTGAGTTCTTCATTCGCCTTCATGCTGCCTGTCGCCACACCTCCGAATGCCATAGTCTTCTCCTATGGATATCTCAAAGTTGCTGACATGGTGAGTATAACAGCGGTTTGTTGAAGTCATTCTGTAAATAACATATGTGAAATTGCTGTGATTTTGCTGCCGCTATAATACAGTTAGAACATGCATTCACTGTCATGTGCAGTTGCAGTCAAAGTTTATTTTTAATTTAGTGAAATACTTGAAGCGTCTCGCTGCTAAACGATTGAAAAAACAAACTGCATTCCTAAAGTTCTGAGTTGTAGCTTTTGGTGATGTCTAGTAGCTAAAATGCAGATTATGAATAAGAAAGTACCCTAGCATCCTAGCTATAAAAATAAAAAAAAAATAGTAATAATATCTTTATAGTGTAAGCTGATGTCTCTGTTGTTCCAGTTTGCTATTATTATTCCCAAAAGTTTTCCATGAGAGGGCCAAAATGAAAATCTATCCGAGGGCTGCGGGCTAAATACAATAAAATAACACATGAAATGCAAATACTTTTTAACTAAAATCCTATTATTTTTTGTGATTAAGATAGCTGCTAGTGCGGTGGTCCACATTTTGTTTGTATATTATTTATTTTTATTTATTTATTTACTCCATGCACTTGGAGAAAGTTTGACGCATGCTTGGGCAGCAAAGGTTCATGGGATATTTTATAAATTGATCAAATATGAGTATTTGTGCAAATCTACATACGTATGTGATTAAATTGAATCTAACAACAGGAGATTTCAACCTAATAACAGCTGGGCAACTGCAGGTGGGCCAAAGCAAATACTTGGCGGGCCAAATTTGGCCTGCGGGCCTCACTTTGGGCACCTCTGATATAAAGTTTAAATCAGTTGTAAATTTTGAATTTAAGATCCAGTGCAACAAAATAAACACACCGGTATTTACATAATGCAATGTTGTGTCTCAGCTGCAAAGCCGCTGTACAGACAGTCACAAACAGTCTGTGGTAGTTTAAAAAAATACTCTAATGTGCTGACCGTTTTATAAAAACCATCAACATGAACAAATATGGAAGAAGTGTCACTACCTAATCCTTTTAAAACTTTTAAAGTAATAACAGTTAGCAAGTCTTGGGTTAGCGCCTCAAAAAGGCCAAATCCCATTTCCAACATTACCCCCAGCTTTATACCTATAGGTGTTCTGTATCCTCCAGAAGGATGGGTATAAAACAACAATACAAATGTTACAAATGGTAAAGTTATCTTTTGAAATAAAGCAGATGCACTCATAAAAATGAACAGAGAAAAGGAACTTACTGTGTAATCTGTTTCTCCACCAGGCTAAGACAGGAATAGTTATGAACATCATTGGCATTCTGTGCATCACGTTGGCCATTAACACCTGGGGCAAAGCCATGTTTCACCTGGACACGTTTCCTGCCTGGGCAAATTTCACAGGCGTGTGAGCCTCTTTGTGATCGACGCACAGCCCTCCAAACACACAGCTGCCAGACAAAAACCTGTGGTCCGAGTGAACGCACAGCACCGAACAGTGAACTGTGTGTTGTAATGTTGTCTGGGTGTTTTCACTCACATAAGACCCTTTCTTGTGACTGAAGGTGGAAATATATGTGAGGAGAAACTGAACAACTGGCAGGTATTTGTGTGAATAGGAAAAGGTTAGACTTTAAAGAAGGTCCTCAAGGTCTGAATAAATTAAAATGTATAGACTGCCAGTAATTTATATCCTTACATTTAAAGAATCTGTTTTACATAACCATTTTTAGAGTTACCTTTTCAAACCACTGTATTTTCTTAAAAACATTCAGGAGAAAAGGTTTTTAACACGGGTAAAGTTGTAGTTTAGTGTCATTTAAAAATGTATAGCAACATGTTTTATTTAATAATCTTTGATGTATAAAAAAAACGTTTTTTAGACATATTTAAGCCTGAGCAACATACAGTAAATGTACAGTTCAGATGAATAAATTATCTTTTTTACTAAATGTTTAGTATCTTTTCTACTTTTATACAGTTGTGGTCAAAAGTTTACATACACTTGTAAAGAAACATAATGTTATGGCTGTCTTGAGTTTTCAATAAGTTCTACAACTCTTATTTTTCTGTGATAGAGTGATCGGAACACATACATGTTTGTCACAAAAAACAGTCATAAAATTTGGTTCTTTCATAAATTTATTATGGGTCTGCTGAAAATGTCACCAAATCTGCTGGGTCAAAAATATACATACAGCAACAAAATTTGTCAATTTTGGTGATGTAGCGAGTTGTGTCAATCAAATTAGCTTCATGTCATGGCCTCTTCACTTCTTGTAAGTGATTCTGATTGACTACAGCTGTGGACTTCTCATGAGCCCATTTAAAGAGGGCTCATTTGACCCAGTGATTAGAGTCAGCTACAAAAGCTACAATGGGAAAGTCAAAGGAACTCAGTGTGGATCTGAAAAAGCGAATTATTGACTTGAACAAGTCAGGGAAGTCACTTGGAGCCATTTCAAAGCAGCTACAGGTCCCAAGAGCAACTGTGCAGACAATTATACGCAAGTATAAAGTGCATGGAACAGTTGTGTCACTGCCACGATCAGGAAGAAAACGCAAGCTATCACATGCTGCCGAGAGGAGATTGGTCAGGATGGTCAAGAGTCAACCAAGAATCACCAAGAAGCAGGTCTGCAAGGATTTGGAAGCTGATGGAACACAGGTGTCAGTCTCCACAGTCAAGCGTGTTTTACATCGCCATGGACTGAGAGGCTGCCGTGCAAGAAAGAAGCCCTTGCTCCAGAAAAGGCACCTTAAGACTCGGCTGAAGTTTGCTGCTGATCACATGGACAAAGATAAAACCTTCTGGAGGAAAGTTCTCTGGTCAGACGAAACAAAAATTGAGCTGTTTGGCCACAACACCCAGCAATATGTTTGGAGGAGAAAAGGTGAGGCCTTTAATCCCAGGAACACCATGCCTACTGTCAAGCATGGTGGTGGTAGTATTATGCTCTGGGGATGTTTTGCTGCCAGTGGAACTGGTTCTTTGCAGAAAGTAAATGGGATAATGAAGAAGGAGGATTACCTCCAAATTCCGCAGGAAAACTTAAAACCATCAGCCCGAAGGTTGGGTCTTGGGCGCAGTTGGGTGTTCCAACAAGACAATGACCCAAAACACACATCAAAAGTGGTAAAGGAATGGCTAAACCAGGCTAGAATTAAGGTTTTAGAATGGCCTTCCCAAAGTCCTGACTTAAACCCCATTGAGAACATGTGGACAGTGCTAAAGAAACAGGTTCATGCAAGAAAACCATCACATTTAGCTGAACTGCACCAATTCTGTTAAGAAGAGTGGTCAAACATTCGACCTGAAGCTTGCCAGGAGCTTGTGGATGGCTACCAAAAGCGCCTAGTTGCCGTGAAAATGGCCAAGGGACATGTAACCAAATACTAATGTTGCTGTATGTATATTTTTGACCCAGCAGATTTGGTGACATTTTCAGCAGACCCATAATAAATTTATGAAAGAACCAAATTTTATGACTGTTTTTTGTGACAAACATGTATGTGTTCTGATCACTCTATCACAGAAAAATAAGAGTTGTAGAACTTATTGAAAACTCAAGACAGCCATAACATTATGTTTCTTTACAAGTGTATGTAAACTTTTGACCACAACTGTATATTTTTTTCCAAAAACACCATTATAGTTTTTATGTTAAGTAAAAAAAGGACATATATAGTCTGCATAAAGTAATTTAGAAATTGTCCTGAAAAATTCTAGTTAAATGTGAACATACTGGGATCAATGTTAAAACACTTTTACAATAACAGTCCAGCTTAATGAGCTTATCTGTTCACTTTCAGTTAAGTGAATATAATAACTTCAATCAAATATTAATACATATGAAAGTGGTTGAATATTATTATTTTTGAAAAAGTAAAAATAAAAGAACAGACATTATTTGAATCCCTGATTGTTTCAGCTTTTTTGGATTTTATGTCAAGAGGTTATGAACAAGTATTATCTTACCTGTAGATGGATTTTTACACAACCTTCAAACCTTCAAGGTTTTTACCAGTTTATACAGCTGCTATCTTCCAAATGATTACATCACCACCACTTTTGCATTACACGGAAATATTATGATATTCCTGCTGAAATTGCACCTGACTGCACCATAAATGCTACGGTTGTTGTTGCTGTATCATTTATAGCAGCAACAACCTGCTGTATGATGTAAAGATGCACAAAGTGACCTTTGCACAAATAATAATCAAATATTGAAAATTAAAGTTGTTTGAAGATGGCTGTGACCCAAATAGTGTATCAGTTCACTCTAAACAAACTCTAACACTCCAAACTGATGCTACAGGCATCCGTGTACAACAGGTAAGATGTTCATTTTTCATAAACTCTTCAGAGAACCCGACTTCAAATAGTTTGAACTTTGATTTTAAGGTAACAAAAGCCATTTTACTTAAGTTTAGCATTGAAAGTGCATGTATTAGAGAGGAAATGCTGATGAGCAGCTTTAAAACGCAAATCATTGTGTACTTTTCTCCAAACATCATTTGCATTTTTTAAAGTTGTCACCAAAGCAAATGTTTGTATTTTCCATCATTTGCATGAACTGTATTCAAGTTTTATGTCATAATCAATGTACATGTTTGTCTTTTTTTGTCTTGCTCATGTAAAACAAAAAATTAAAACGAGCCTGTTTTAATGCAGTTTTTATGCTTCCTTCTTGTTGAACACATGAAAAAAATTAAACCTCATATTGTTATTCAATAATTAAATTAACTCAACAAACAAGACATATCATCAGTTGTTGAAATCCTGCACACGGCGTTATTTAGCAACTCTTGACTCAAACAGAAGGAAAACATGTTAAGAAGGTCTAAAAAAGGTGATTTTCATCACTTCAACCCTGCATGACTGCTGTCTTTGTTTTAAGGACCTCTGGTGTCTTTGCCTCTTCCTTACCGACCACTCATCTCATGCATGTATCTGATATAATCCCGTAAACACAGTGTGGAGAGCCACAGTAATCCTGGACTGAAAGGCCACACCTAATGTATGCAAGCAAGCAAAGCTGTGTGTCACTGCGCTCTCGCAAGATGCTGTTTAAGCCAAAGGGTCAAGGCGCTGATTCGGTCCGGCATTGTTTTGCGTCATAAACATTGTGAGCTCAGAGATGACATTTCGTCTGTCTGCGTTTCAAGACCCCAGATAACTTTAATGCAACCTTGCGAGCATCCTAATGAGCGTCTGTCATCATGGAGGGGATTTATGTTTGCACGGCATGACAATAAAACGACTGCAAGACTTTAGAGAAGAGTAGCATCGACCCTTAAAGGGGGGGTAAAGAGAGGGAGCTAATCAGAAAATCACATCAAAGTTCAAACCTCGTTAATGTTGGACAATTAAAACATTAGCTGGTTGTTGGTTAACGAGCAGTTCAGAAGACTGTGATCTTGGATCCCTGGGGGGAACATTGCTTATGAATTGCTCCTGTGCCAACCACTCATTATCCAATTGAAGCACATTTCAACGCACATCTATATTATTCACCACGATTACACTCGTAAAGTATCAGAAATTGAACTTGCCAGCAGTTCTCCTCGGTTTTATGCAGCTGGCTGTGAGTAAATAACCTCCTATAAACCCAAAGGCACATAAAGACTAACTTTTCGCAGGGTAAGCAAAGAACGAGCTTAATGAATGACTTCCACGCAAACACAAAAGGATTACGGTGTCATGAATACCTTTTAGGCACACGAGAGCTCAAAAAGACATTCCTGGTTCATCCCCCACCTGTATTCAAGAGTATTTTGAGTCAGGAAAGGCTTATTTAAAAAAACCAAATTAGCCTTCCATCATCTTTGTATCAGTTACACACGAGCACAATATGCAGCTTGTCTGATGCTCTCAGTCCTCCACGGCAAACAAAGACATGGTTTCATTTAGCAATCGGAGAATCCTATTAAGTTATGGAAATGAGTCGAACACAAATCTAAAATATCCGACTGAAGACAGAAGACCTTTCTTTTCTCTCTCTCTGTGGACCAAAGTACATTCATTTAGACGGCGCCAACCAGTGAAGCCTTTAAAATCTTTCTCCTGGTGGGATTCTTTGTAAATCATTACACCTTTATATGCTTAAAAGTCACATTTGTATTAGTAAGTACAACAAAATGTTATTAATCAGACTTAGAATTTGCCTGGTGCACAGACAGTAAACTCTATAATATAAAATTTGTGTCATTTTATTCACTTAGAAACATAAAATTAGAAGCTTTTTATTTAGACCGCTCTTGCAGAGCTGTAATAATTTACTGGTAACACTTTAATAATAATAACTACACCTTATTCAGCCTTACTTAATCATTAATAAATGATTAGTTAACCTTGAAAACATTATTAATTAAGGATGATTCATACGTAAAAATAAATAAATGAACAAATTTATTCATGTATTATTAATCTACATGTCAAACAAATGGTGTGAAAGTACATTTCTACGACATACACACAGTATCTATATAATAGTTAATTCATGCGTTATTAAGAATTAATGAACAGTGAGTATGTTGGTTTTAAAAGTAATTAGCCTTTATGGATAAAGAATTTAAAAATGTGTTAATTCATAGTTTAGGTATCAATAATTTTAAAATAATAATATTTTTAAGTTTAACTAAGCATTAATTAAGGATTAATAAGGCTAGTTGTTATAAAGTGTGTGTTTTATGATAATACAGATTAATTAGAATTTATCAAAAGGGATGCACAGGAAGTATATAATCCTTTAATTTATAGAAAACACAAACAAACATTAAAGAAACTTGTTCTTAAACAAACTTTCTTTCAGCTGGTTTTTTATGGATCCCTGACTCCATCAGTTCATGTTTTAACCTGCTTTCTGTGCGGGTGCTGATTACTTTAAAAGACAAAGATGTCTTCAAAAATAATATTGAAAATGTCTTCTGATACAGTATCTGGTGATCACAGTATAACTTCTGAGAAATAATAAGAACAACTATCTTCATAAAATACCCTCAGAGGACATCATGTTACAAACTCCTTTTACTTGATCTGTCTTTAAAAAACAGTAACCTATGACGGGTGGAGCTATATGACTTCAGCTCTTTGCACAGTTTCATTCCAAAACAAATCATTTCAGGTGTAATAAGAGGTTGAGACTCTGCAAACCTACTATTGTCTTCTTCTCTGCTACGTCAAGCCCCAATTTAACATCTACAGTTTGCTTATTCAGAGCTGCCTGTCTCATTTCCGCTTTCACGATAAAACAAAAAATAAATATACTCCAGTAACCTTCATCCAAAGACTTCTCATTAAATAATGTTGTTTCTTCTTAGGGCTGAAGCAAGTGAAACAAAATACAAAGAAGTTCTCATGATACAGAGTATTTTTTCCACAAAGATCAAACCTGAGGTAAAAGTTCCATCATTGAGCTGATGTTCATTAAAAGTCAGCAGTTATTAATTTCATTAGGATCTATGAGGTCAAACAGCAAAAGTTAGTAATAATGTACATATTTTCAATAATAAATAATTTACACATAAACTTCTCATCTCGTTTTGTTAAATAAATACAGATTAAAATAAATATTTTATACACAGCAAGTCAGCAAATAACTAATAAAGGTCTAAGTTAATCAATGGCTGCCTGATTAAGGTGATTAAAAATAGACAATTGTTTAGTCTTTATAATGTGTTATTTACAGAAGATGTGGGAACTTTTTAATTGGTGAATAAAATCATATTTAAGGTAAATATCTCCCTCTGCTGGTCACAGATTGTATCTGCAGAAATCACAACAGGTCCAGTTGTTTCAGAGCTGCAGCTTTCATTCACGTGCTCAACACTTGAAGTAAAGCTTAGAAATACAGAAATACAAAAAATAATAAAAATAATAAAAGAAAACAAGAGAGAAAGAACAGCTAATAGGAACATTAATACAGGATCGATCTTCAATGTTTTTTTCAGTCTGGGATCCCGAAAATGACTGGAGAAATGTAGAAAGGACCCTCCTAATTAATGCATATATAGTGTTTTATATTGTGCTTTCTAATAACCTAAGTTCAGTATAACATAAAAATATTACTGTGCATCTTACACTAAGTAATGCAAAAAATACACAGCTTCTTTATTTCATTGTTTTTATTTTAACATAAGTTTAAATATAAAAATGTCATGTTGTTTTGCATAAAATGTAGAACTTTTAACATAAAGACATAACTCTGAAATTAAAAAAGTATTAAAAAAAGTCTAATTAAGCAATTATTTCATGACCTCACCTGCAGTACCTGCAGAGAACCACTAGAGGCCGCGACCCCATCATTGAAGACCTCTGGTCTAATAAATTACATCTGCTGATGATGTGTTAAATTAATTGTAAGGAAAATTTCATTATAGCATTTTGAATTTACATGTTNGTTTCAGCTGCAGACAGAGTTGACGTTTAAACAGAACAATAAGTAATTCAGCAGCTCGTCCTGGTCCTGGTCCTGGTCCTGGACCTGGTCTTATGTCTGCAGGAGGTAGACCGTCTGGAGCAGCTGCAGAGCAAACTGCACTCCTACTCCATGTTCGGGCTGCCCAAAGTGCCGCGGCAGCTCTCCTTCGACGAGGACGCCTGGGAGGAGGAGAAGGAGGCCAACCTGGTGATGGAGGACAGCTGGCAGGCCTTACTGGATGACTCTGAGGTACGGAACCAACAGGACCGAGTCTGAGTCCTCAGTCTGAGTCCTCACTAACCAACAGGACCGAGTCTGAGTCCTCAGTCTGAGTCCTCAGTCTGTGTCCTCACTAACCAACAGGACCAAGTCTGAGTCCTCAGTCTGAGTCCTCACTAACCAACAGGACCGAGTCTGAGTCCTCAGTCTGAGTCCTCAGTCTGAGTCCTCAGTCTGAGTCCTCAGTCTGAGTCCTCACTAACCAACAGGACCGAGTCTGAGTCCTCAGTCTGAGTCCTCAGTCTGAGTCCTCACTAACAACACTTCCTGTTATGTAAGCAGTCTGGTGCTCCCTCCCTCCTTGATTGTCTGGATTCCTGTAATAAAGCAGAGTTTTACAGTTTTTACAGGCTGAGCTGTAAAGTCCTGTGAGAAAGATCAGGACCCTGTCAGATCAGGACCCTGTCAGATCAGGACCCTTTCAGATCAGGACCCTCTCATGCTGTCTCAGACTTTCACCTGTTAATGTGTACGTGACTAATCAGCTGTGACAGCTGCCGCTCGGCCCGCTTTAATAACTGTTCACCGCTGCAGAAAACTTGTTGCTGCAGAAAACTTGTTGCTGCAGAAAACTTGTCGCTGCAGAAAACTTGTTGCTGCAGAAAACTTGTTGCTGCAGAAAACTTGCCGACATCCTCGGCTCATCTGCTTCCTGATTGGCCGTGCAGAAACTTGTTCTTCTTATTAGTTTTACAGCTTAAATCAGAGTTAATTCACATGGACAGCTTTGCCGATGCATTGCAGCTGCTTCTTTAGACGAGCTGAGACTCAGCTGAGCAGCTGGGTTTACAGGGTGCGGTAAGCCCCTCCCCCTCCTCCTGGGTGTGCCTGCTTTGATGCAGCTTTGCCAACATAAATTTGGGCATAAAGTGCAGCTGATAGCTGTTAGAGGTCAACATTACAAAGCAAACAGTTGTTATCTGGAGGCAGACAGAAACACGTTTAATTCAGTTTCTCACTGAAACTTTCACAGCCTTCTCCAYGTCTTTGATCCAGTCTTCACCAGGATGTTACATTTTCTTCAAGCAGAATTTCATAATAAGAAACAAAATATATTCTGACAGTAAAATCAATAGTTTTTTTATCAAATGCTATTAAACCATATGTTCCTTTTCAGTCTTTTCACTCAGTTCAACACACAGTTGTATATGGGACGCCTGGCTGAAGCCACCTCTAATCACGTCTTTAGACCGGTGACGTTGAACGTCGGGTGACAGGCTCCGCCTTCACCCTATAAGTTCAGAGTCACCAGCGTCATTACTCAGTTTTATCGCCCTTCACCTCTCGATAGTCACCTCTAAACCTGAGCTCACATAGCTCACCCGCTGCTCTCCGAATCCAGCCAGACGGCTCAGTCCGATGAAGACGAGGATTTTCTGTCCATCAGAGCCATTCATGTTCCGGGGAGACTGAACCTAGGTCCAGACCTCCTCTCCAGGGCGGACCTCTGGCAAAGGAGTGGAGGCTGCATCCCACTGTGGTGGCCCAGATTTGGGTTTTGTTTGGCAAAGCGACAGTAGATCTGTTTGCCTCCAGAGCAAACACACACTGTCCTCTGCTCTTTTCCATGACAGAGCAGAGCGCTCCTCTGGGAGTGGACGCCCTAGCTCATCCTTGGTCCGATGTACTTCTGAATGCGTTTCCCCCAGTGGAAATGATACCACTTGTACTAGAGAGGGTGCGTGGACAGAGCCTGTCTTTGATCCTAGTGGCACCCCGCTGGCCAGTGAAGTCTTGGTACGCCGAGATAATCAGCTTGCTAGCAGCTCAACCCTGGCAACTTCCGGTTCAATGAGATCTCCTCTGTCAGGCAGAGGGGGAGATTTTTCACCCACACCCAGAACTATGGAAGCTGCATGCTTACCTGCTGAAAGGGCGCTCGTGTCCCATATACAACTGTGTGTTGTACTTCGTTCCATTCCTTCAAGGAACCGTGGTTATATTCATAAACTTACGTTTTGTACAAAAATGTTACAAAAAAATGACACTTTTCTAAGTCTGAAACTCTCCTGCTGATTAGGAAGGTGATAAAAACTCTGTGGACAGATTTTAGCTGTTGTGTAAGAACAAACAGGAAGTGGTCTGTGCTCAGCAGTATGACCCGTGTGTCGGTGCAGGCGCTGCCGAGGCGACAGTTCCACCAGCAGGAGGCGATCTGGGAGCTGCTGCACACTGAGGCCACCTACATCAAGAAGCTTCGAGTCATCACGGATGTGAGAACAAAGACAGCTGCTGTTCTGAACATGATTCACTGAGTTGTTGTTCGTTATGAGAAGAAGAGTTGTGTAATGATAATAGTTTTGGACTGTGGGCCTGCAGCTGTTCCTGTGCGGCCTGCTGAACCTGCAGGAGAGCAGCCTGCTGACGGAGGTGGACCCCAACAAGCTGTTCAGTAACATCAAGGAGATCGTCCGGCTCCACACGGCTCTGTGGAACCAGGTCATGGTCCCGGTCCTGGAGCAGGCCAGGAGGGCCCGGGCCCTGCTGGACCCCACGCAGCTCTACGACGGCTTCAGGACGGTCAGTTGGAGCAGGACCAGCAGGTTGTTGTGTGTCCATGTGGTGTTTGTAACTGAGGTGTGTCTCKGTGGGCTCAGTTCGGCTCCAGGTTCCGGCCYTACATCCGTTACTGCATGGAGGAGGAGAGCTGCATGGAGTACATGCGCACGCTTCTCAGGGACAACGAGCTCTTCAGGACCTACGTGACGGTGAGTGCTCCCCCCTCGGCTCGCCCCGTCCTGACCCGCCTCTGCTCTGGTGCTTGACTTCCTGTCTTTGTTTGACGCGGCTCAGTGGGCAGAGACACACAAGCAGTGCAACCGTCTGAAGCTGGCCGACATGTTGGCCAAGCCTCACCAGAGACTCACCAAATATCCCCTCCTGCTGAAGAGCATCCTGAAGAGGACGGACGAGCCCACGGCCCGCGACGTCGTCAGCAGCATGGTGAGGAACCAGAACCAGGTGTGGCTGAGGAACAAGGAGGCTGCGGACGGACGGCTTTAGACTTTCTCTTGCATCAAAGACTTACTAACCGTAGAAAGGCCACATGTTGCTAAAATATTTCAGGCCACAAACTTACAGGCTTCAAAAGGTGCTTGAAATCCTTGAAAATGCTTGAATTTTAACAAAGTGTTTTCAAGGTTTGGAAAGTCCTTGAAAGTGCTTAATAATCTATTACAAAACTGTGCTGTTAAAGAGCACTCCAACAATTTGATTAAAAACCTCAGTTTGATATTTGTAGGTTAAAGACACAAAATAGAGATCAGTAGAGATCAGTCAATATAAATAATAGAGATCAATAGATAATAATAGTAATAATAATAGTAATAATAATAGTAATAATAATAATAGTAATAATAATAATACAGATCAATCATAAATAATAAAGATCAAATAATAATAATAACAGAGATCAATCAACATAAATAATAGAGATCAATGATTATAAATAATAGAGATCAATCATTATAAATAGAGATCAATAGATCAGTCATTATAAATAATAGAGATCAGTCATTAAAATAATAGAGACCAATCATTAATAATAGAGA